TTATTTATTAATTATTATATTTCATATTTTATTTTAACAGTATAACTATAGGTTTCAGGTACTCATTATTGGCTGCATTTTACTTTTTATTATTAAACATCGGTCACCACCAAGTTTTTAGTTCTATATTTATTTTATTTTTGTAGAATTATTGTTTTCATTAAGTATGGTAACACATAAAAATGATATTTATTACAAACATTTGTTCACTTATGAGATACAGAAACGCGTCTTAAGACTTATTTAATTATCTTTTATATAAATACCTATTACGAATTTATGTAAATATTTTTCACTAACACTATTAACCGAACTCCGCTCCGAATCGTTTTTCTATTCAATGGTTAATCGTTGCGTATAGATATACATTAAATTTCCCCTCTAGTACCTCGCCAACTTCTCACCTATAGCTGTGGTCAACCCACGTGCGAAGTATCTCCGTTGTTTTTAAGATCGAATCGTCGATCTGGTAATATAAAGTCAGTCAATTTAAATTTAAAATATTCAAAATATAAATTCTAGTATGGTTTAAAAATATTAGACATTTTCCATTTAAATTTTAAATTTTGATGTTGTAATTTACGAGTTATTAGAACATTATTAATGTTATCTACCTGAATTTCTGAACTATTCATTGATTCTTTTTATATCGATTTTTTGTGAATTCACAAAAATTGATTCACTACCGCGAATAGACCATCACTAGCATTTGTATTTGTATATCCATTATCAATGTACCGGCGCCATCTGTATATAACCACTTTGGTAACAAATAAACACTTCGATCACAGTCAAAACACACTCATGTCTTATCCATGGAAATACATATTATCCATGTAAGTAATGGGAACCGCATCGAAATCGATTTTAAGGAGAAAGATTCAGGCAACTTATGTGACAGATGCATACGGGTCATATCAATATGTTGAGAAGTAGGTAGTCATTTCAACTCCGGTAATAAGGGTGACAAAAAATATTGGTAATGTAACATTCTAGAACTGCATGTTTATAAATTCTAAAAAAAAAATGCAAAAAAAGTTCTTACTCTCCAAAGTATCGCAAAGGAAATGGATATCTATTACGTATTTACGTGGCACACTGTATAATGTTGCATAATATTTTATGCAATAAAAAATAACGCCCACAAACATATTGTTGGTGGAACGTATTGTTAGTCAACATTTTTCCATAACAATATTAAGGAAAAATGTCGCAAAAACAATAATGCTGTGAATTTCAAAATATCACTTTCAACTTTTAACATTTATTCACTTGGTAATTTAAAATGAGTATTTTCATAATACTATTTTTAAAAAGAGATAATAGGAATTAATGAATGTACCATTGTTGTAAATCAGAAGTTGGGAAGGTAGGTATTATTTAATTCGTATTCTGTATCACTAACGAAATACGAAGGATCAGGCGAATTTATTTAGTTGGAACTTATAACAATTATAAAAAAAACCTATTACTTCACACTTAATTTTTTTTTTTTTTTTAATTTAGAGTACAAATTATGATAAACTTTATGTAGAATTGTCAAACATTTCTATTCGGCCAAAATAATTTTATATTTCATAACTCATAAATCCAAATAAAAACTAAAAAATCGAAAATCGAAAAAGGGAAGTTTTTTTCGATTTTCTCAAGAGTTTTCTCATCAAATGCAAATAATCGAAAAAAAAAAGGGAAAATGTATGAAATATATTAGTATATTATTACGATTTTTTCGTGTGAACAACATTTCTAACGGCAATTATTCCCCGACTTATAATGATAATAATTTTTCTAAGTCAAATATCATTTGTTAGTTTGTTTGCAAATATTTTTTTTTATTTATATAATGTTTTTATTCATATTATTTAACAGTGATTTAAAAAAAAAAAAATTAAATATAAATTATATTTAATAATTTAGTCACAGTTTATCCAAAAATATAAATATATTTAATGTAATTGATAATTCGAAAACTAAAAACAATGAAGAGTTAAAATATCTTTGTACTTTTTTTTTTTCTTGGTGTGAATTTGATTTACGCTAGGAGCTGATTTTTTTTAGCAAAACAGTAGGCCGGTTGAGTTCCAGTCCGCCCCTGGTTGGTAGGTACCTAAGCAGTTTTTAATATTTTTATATCGTTAAGAATATAAAATGTGGCATATAAATTTGGCAATAATACTTACTTGTAATTTTCCAAAAAAAAATCAAATAAATAATTTAAACTAACAAACTACCTACTTAACAAAATGGTCAATGATATTTGAAATAAAAGTATAAAATATAAAATATTAAGTAACAGCTATTTATTCTACCCTTTCAAATTAAATTCTCGAAAATTAAGCAAGTACGAACATTTACAGGTATCAACACGATTTTCACGATTTATAAGTTTAGTAGTGTTTACAAAAACGTTTTAAATAATGAATTTTTTTTTCGCGGACAGACTGGTCTTTATATACTCGGATCATTAAGAAACACTGATAGTCTTTCGACCGAAACCGTCATTTCCCCTATTAAAATGTCACTTTCGCTCCCGTTTATCTGATTTGCTAATGTCACCATATTTCTTACATAGAGATTACACGCACAATTTTATAGCGCCTGTCTCTAGCTTCTCAATATTAAAATACTTATCTAATGTTACCACAAATTACTTGAGAAAGGTACATTGTACTTTAATTGTTCGTCTGTCCGAATTTATATACAACCCAACCGTCCTAACCTAGTTATTAACCCAAAATATATCAAGTAAAGCTGTTATTTGTCAACAAAATGGGTATTATTTCGTGACATCTGAGAATGTAAAACAAACCACATAATGCAATGTTTACAAATTTTTAATGGTGTGAAGAGCAATTGCCTGCGACCATTTATAGCCAATATCAAACTCGGTTTATGGTATAATAACTTAAGTAGGCAATGAACAATTCAAAGCAAAGTTTTTTTTATTATGTTTACAATTACAACATGATAATATAACAGGTACCTAATAAAGTCGTGGTTTATTCAAAATGCAATACAATAGAGTTGGCACTCCACAGAAGTGAACAAATTGTATTAGGGTTCCCGGGAACGAAGCCAGGATTCACGGGAATCACCAGGAATATTTAAGAATTCTCAAAAAATAATCTATATTTATCAAATCTTACATAGGTAGTGTTGTAGGTAGGTATATAAATATAGAATATAAAAGTCATAGACAAAACTGAACATTGAAATACTTAGACATTAAGTTAGATTTTTGACCAGTAATAGTATGTATTTTTATAATAAATCCTCTACACTAACAAATTAATACATGCATTCAATTTAATCAAATTATTTAATAGTCTTCAATAAACGATAGTTCAGTAATAATAAATTACCTATTTAAATTTGAAAAAATTTAAGTTTAAAAACATTAAAAGTTTTAATTTAAAACGTACCAAGGAAAAGATTATGAATTTATAAGTTACAATTTACTTAGGTATTATAATTATTTTTTGACTCGTTTTCTCGCATATTTTTAAACATTATGGGATGAAAAAATATTTTTGTCTAAATACTACTTGTACTTTATAGAAACTAAGCTTAATACATCAGTCTAGTAAATTTGGCTTAAAATTATACAAAATACATATACAATTATATATTTGATCAAATATCCACAGTGTCCAAAAGAAACTTAAAAACATTCAAACCAGACTACAACACCAAACATGTTAACTGTTGATCATATGTACATATCATATAAACATTAATGAGTAATGACTGAATACAACTAATACCAAATGGAAATTATCTTTTCCAGGTTCTATCTCAAATCCAGAATCACATTAAGCAAATATATTGACAACATAGTTAGGTAAGTACCCTTTAATACTTACATGCAGTACCTAAGGATGCAGCAAGGTAATTAATTGAAACATTACCTTATATTGAGTGAATTGTTATTCAACTCGATTATTTTAGTTATAAGTTGCATTTACTTTCATATTAATTAGGTACCTACCTACTTAATTATCTTCCGAAAGGTTCTCATACACAATCCATTTTATTCAAAAGTGGACTGGAAAATAGTTTAAATTTAATTGAATAAAAACGGGAACGTTTATGGCATTTAATTATTTTCAATTTTGGTTTTTTGATGTATTTTTGTGAATAATAGCTTTTCTGGACATGTTGAAATTTTCAAAACATTCTATTGATTTATAAATTATTTATAGACATTTCATTTATTCGTGGTTTTTAATTTTTATTTGGTTTTATGTTCAAATTGTTTTGACAAAACAGAAATGATATAAAATGTTACTTAAAATCCATAATACATAGAGAAAAAAAACAGCCATTATTATGTAGTTTGTCATAGACAGGGAAGAATCTTCTTTAAAAGATAAATTACTGGACAACAATAATCAACTGTGATAAAAATAAGGATGGAAACATTCTGCTGAAACACATTCAATTTAATTTCTATTATTGATTTCTGTTTTTGAAAAGATTGAGCTCTGTAAATACCAGGTAATTCATCTAATTTAATATGATTAGAAATTGCATTATTAAAAATTTACTATGGTTCAAATGTTTAACACTTGTTGATTAATTTTTTTTAAAATATAAGTCTAGTGTTATGATTTACTCACCTATATCTAAATCATAAATCTGTAAATTTAGTATTAACCCCTTTCCGCATATTGTACCAAAAATGACACAAATTAATTTTTATTGATTATTTCACTGACAAATTATTCGATTCCAATACTTCTTACATAACTAAATTCGGCACAAAAAACTAAATAATTTTGATATATACGGTACTTTTATCTAGCGATAAAATTACTTACTATAATTTATAAAATAAATGAAAACAGATAAATGTGATACACAAATTAATAAATAATTAAATAAATATAATATGGTGCGATTATTTTAGTTTTGTTTTATAACTACATATGTCTCATATAATATGACACATAATACTGTTGAGTAATTTAATGCATAAAGTCCTGCATAAATATATATGTGTTTTGGTGCACATTGCGCCATTTATGGCACACATTTAGTTTTGAGCTTTTTTGGGGCCAAAAAAGGGTGAACAATTTTTTAAGTATTTGTCCATGTCATCTATACACATATTTTTTTTTTGAAAAACATGAACAAATTTAAAATTGGCGATTTATCCTTATTGAATAATTGACAAAAAATCAACTTTAGTCCTTTATAATAACTGATACTTTATTTATAAATTAATAACAATATTAACAATAATGGCATACACAGGATTATACTAGTTAGATGTAATACCTAATGTCTATAATACACACTAAAATTTAATTACAATAAACATTAATATAACTCACATTAAATCTCTTAAAATAGTTCTAGTTTCCTTAAATAAATAAATTATAATATTTTAAAATTTTAATTTAAAAGATAGGTAAGTGAAGATCAGACCATAGTCCATAAAATAATCAATGAATTGTTTGATAATATCTTCTTGTATAATATATGTTTAATAATTATCTACCAATCTCTGTGGCAGCTAAATAAAGGTCAAGTCGGCAAGACAAGGATCACCAAATGGGCCCTCTTCTAATAATGGCCCCTTAACTAATACTTTTTTTTTCAATATTTCAGAAAAAAATATTAATTGTTAAAAATCTGAGTAATAAAGATAAAAAATACAAATATTTAGCCTATATTATATAGGTATATTTTGAAAAGATAAATGTTAAATTATCGCAAAGCTTGAAACAAAATTTAATATAATAATATTCCGTACAATATACAACACATCCACTATTCAACTTCAAGTAAGCAAATTTATAAAATAAATACTTCATATATCAATTATTTTCATTAATTTGACAAGCTCAACTTGTGAAATTTAAATAAAAAATTATGGCTGATAGAGAGCTAATTTATTTATTTATTTATTAATTTTATTTTAGCCCTCCTAAGGGCTTAACCACACCCTCTTTTTTTTTTTATAGTTATTTTAGTGTGTTTGGCGGGCATCATTTTTCCTTAATTTTACTTTTATAATCTTTTGACTTAACCAACCAAATAATGCGTAATTAAGCTACCATTAACTAATCTATATTTACTTTCCAAATAACATTATATTTTCTTAAATTTAGGAATGTTATAATTATATTTTATAATCAATACTTTAAACTATAATATTCATATTACTACTCAGTTAACAAATATCAATAAAATAACTAAAATTATTAACTAAATATTAATTTTAAAATATTTTTTCTCTAATGATTTATCTTTAAAAGGACTTTTCCATAGTTCTCTCTCTCAGATAATAATCTTTGAGCTGCAATGACCTAGCAAATAAAATAATATTAAGAATTGATAACCTGTTATGAAAAAATGATGATGTACAAATATTAAAACAAAATATAACAGTATACTCAAATACAATTTATCAAAAATTAGTCAAATTTTTAACAAGTAGTTTCTTACTAACTTCTTCAAACGGTAATGTAGTATGAATTTTCGGTTTTATTAATTTATCCTTCATCATTTGAAATAATTCTTCCATGATATCGCGAATTTTTGTTGGATTAGTTTCAAAAAGCAAACCCAAATGAAGACCAGAAACTGAAATATTGTTCTCTATCATTGTTCGAGGTACTAAATTTTTTGTTTGCCACTTTAAAGCCATAGATCTGAACATATTTAATTTGTCTCCATTGATATAGCAGCTACCACCTAAAAAATAAATAAATTATAACTAGTAAAATAATTTTTTAAAGTTTTTATGAGGTATTGGACTACATTATGGTTTACTAAGAACATTACAAATTAAAAGTATTTTTTCGAATGTATACTTTAAAAAAAAAGATATCTAGGAAAGTTGGCAATGATAGTTTTAATAACCAAACAACTATATTTTCAAACTGACCAGTAATTACTAACCAGGGACTTACATGTGACGCTATGTTTTAAAAATATAGTTGGGAGATTACAAAATTAAGGGCTCTCAGTTTAAAGAAAATGGTAAAAAGATAATGAATTCATAAAAATATGTTTTATTTAATTTCTATGCTAATTGCAATCCATTGCTTTTGTTTAATTTTCTACAAAAGTAGAAACTATTGCACTGTTTTATTTCTGTTACATTACAAACTATAAAAAGAAGATCTAACATCTAAAATAACTTTTTTCTGTTCTTTTTTTTTTTTTTTTTTTCATATAATTATTATAGCCTTGCACTATGATTCCCTTTATTTTATATTTCTTTTTAAGATGAAAAATAAAAAACTGACATACTTCGCATGATGGGTGGGCCACTGTTGTAGACGGGAAGTTGGGAAGGTAGAAGGGAAATTTAATGTATAACTGTATGCAATGATTAATCATTGGTAATGAATAACAATTCTGAACAGAGTTTGGTTATACATGTTTTGAAAAGGAGTAATATTTACAATTTTAAAATAATACATTTCGTAAATTTTACTGTTTTTCCTTATTAAAATTCCAGGGAAAATAACGAAATTGACATCCCTTAAGTTACCACCTCATAAAAATTTCTTTACAAAAAGTGTGCTACGCATAAAAATTGAGTCAAAACTTTTGGTAGAAAAGTTGTTCACAAAAAAAAATTTAATTAAAATTAAATACTATTATAAAACCAATACATTCCTAGCTCTGCCTGGAATATAAAACTTAAGATTTAAAAAAAAAGTTTTACAAAATCCAAGATAGTCATTTATAAACTTTTAAACAAAAGTTTAGTGTTAAAAATATTTACAAATGTTGAATCATTGATTTCTAAGATTTTTTAAAGTTAATTATAATTTTAATTGTTTTCATTCCACTACTAAACAATATCAATCGATTCACCAATTTATCCATGAAAAGTAATTTTGTTAATGATTTTTGTAAATTTCAAAAAATTATAAAAATAAAAACTTATTTGTCTTACTTATTTAAAAAAATTTATCATTAAAAATATTTTTAAAGCAAAATATGTATCCCATAAAAATATACTCATTTTATTTTAATATTTCCAAAGATAGTAAAATGTTGTTTTTTTTATATATATATTACTAAAGGATAAGGACTACAAATATTTATACTTCAATTAACTTTTTGTTTAATTAACTTTAAAAAAAAAAACTTTTTATTTTATATTTACAAAAAATGTATAAATAGCCATTTTAAAGAGTTTATTATTCTTCTGGACATTTTGACGGTTCAACTTTTTATAAAAAAATTGTTACAAATCACAAATTTATAAAGAAATAAGGAGTTGAATTGTCAAATTTTTCAGAACAATAAACTTTATAAAATGACTATCTTCAAATTATTTTAAAATAATAAAATAAAGTTATTTTTTAAATGTTTTTATCAAAACATAAAAATTTAATCAAACATATTACAGAAGATACTGGGTGTTTTATTTTTTTCTGTTAAATTATTAATTTATCACATAAATTTATCATTTTTTATGATTAATATTGTAGGTCTAATTTTTTTCTAAAAACAATGTATTAAAATATTTGTTTTTACCTCTTCCTCTTCTTACATTTACAATGAATACTTATATATGGTCATTATAGACCTAATCAAATTTTAAAAATAGTCTGGTAAATCTTCTTCTACTTTACTTTCATCTCAACTATTTGGGGTCATCCGCCTTTATCCTAATCTTCCACTAGACCCGATCTCTCATGCTGCATACACCAGCTATCCTCATTTCATACTCTATATCGCATTCAATCACCTCTTTTTTTGATTTTCCTCTCTATTTCCTCCTACATTTATTTGTATTACAACCCTTACTGCTAATGATCCCTCTCTCCTCATGACATGTCCAGGTTCTAGACATCCAAGTCTATTTTCAGCCATTTTATATACTTACTATTTTTTGAATGCAATAATTAATTTGAGAAAACATAATACCTTTTTGATTGTTTTATTTCACTTATAAAATTTGTGAATTTATGAACTAATGAAAAAAAAGTGAATTTTTTTTAAATTTTTATAAATTTATTGCCTTAACGCATGAACCACCTATAAAATTATAACTAAGTTATAAAGCAAATAAAATCCGACTTTAAAATGGATTTTAACACTACTGTGTGTTATTTAATGTATGTTTAATCGGACACATGTTGCAAAGACAAGTCATCTCAGAGATGTCCACTGTTGGTTTTCATGACCCATTTCATATAAAGTTATTTCTAAGATGACACATGTCGCAACAGTACAACTGTTTTTCAGTTTGCTATTGTACACGCCTTTATTTAACTTTATCAAATTAAATAACAATTACAATAAATTGATATGTTGTTAATAATAATAAGATGGAATTACATTTGCTAAATGTCAATACATTAAAATTTAACAGATGAACTACTTAAACATTAGGATACTGAAGGTTTCTTAAATATTAATTAATAGCCATTTAAAAATATGAATGAAAATGGCATAATGTTTGGTATGATATGTTGATGTGTTACACCACTACTACTTTCAGAGCAATCATTTCATGACTCAAAGTTCAGCTGCTGCTGTTTTTCCCACCATATAAACCGTTCTAAATTAATTTTATACAAACAACATGTAGCACTAAGTACCTAATTCACTATAGTAATAGTGTGATGATGAACTAATAAACCTTAAATTAATACACCGGTATAATATACTAGATTCTATACTCAATAGTATATTATATTTAAATAATTTTAGTTACCAATAATCACTAAACGGCCACAAGGTTTAAGTAATGATTGACTTATTTCAATATTGGGTCCTCCAATACTATCTATAATTAAATCAAATCCTCCGGGTAATATGTTTCTAGCTTGTGTCATATAGGTCCTATGGTGTAAAACACGATTAACTCCATTCTTTTTTAGATCTTGATGTTTAGAAGCTGAAGCTGTTCCAAAAATAGTTACGTCTTTCACAGTGTTTGCTAGTTGAGTAGCGGCACAACCAACACCACCTACAAAAAAAATATTGGGTTTATATTTTCAAATAATAAGTATTACAGAATCAATAAATTATGAAATTCTACTAAACCAGCAATTGAATGAATTAAAACAGTTTCTCCAGGTTGTAAATTTCCCATGGTAAAAATACTTAAATATGCAGTCAAATAATTGGCAGGGAGAGAAACTGCATCTTGGTTACAAATAACGTCCGGAATTAAAAAACAGTTTTTTTCTGGTACTACTGCTAATTCTCTGAAGAGGCCTCCTGTCCACATGTAACATATTACTCTGTCTCCACACTAAATAGTAACGAAAATATATTACACATTGGTATTATGAGAGTTATAATATTATTCAAATTTAACTTCTAAACATTTAAACCATACCTAAAATTAAATAATAATATAAATAGATAACAAATTACTGTATTAAATCTAGTTACCTGAAAGTTGGTCACATCCTTTCCATAATTTTCTACTATACCATAACATTCTGTACCAAGGATACGCGGAGTTTTCAAGTCTCGTAAAAGACCTTGTCTCGTATATATATCGCTGAAGTTGACACCACATAAGTGAATTCGTATATATAGAGATAATGGTTCCAAGTCGTCTACCGGCAAACGTTGAATCTGGAACGAGTTGTACAAAAGTTAATATATTGTGGTTTTAAATAAAAATGCATTTAATGATCCACACAAATAGGACACGATAGGTACTCTGTTCACAATAGATAATTTAAATATGCTAGGGTAGATTTTATACAAATAGATAAGCAGGTTAGGTATCAGATATTATATTAACATTAAATAATGAGGTACATATATTACTTTATATACCTACCTAATTAGTGTTACACATTGAAACATTTATATTTATGCATGCGACATAAAATATCATGATTATATAAAAACAATATATTCATAATATTTTAGTTAATTTATTTCTTTATTGGCATACATCAATAAATTACTTACTCTTATTTTATCATAACCACCATAACCTTCTAATACTACAGATCTAACTTTTTTATTAACATTCATCATCAAATGTTTGCAATTCCTTTTTTTTTTTTTTGGTGTTGTTATTATTATTGAATGATCACTACAGCAGAATAAGATATAAAAAAATAATATAGTTTTACAATAGAAAGTATCATGAATAACATTAGAGGTATAACTGAATAATCAAATAGACAATAGCTAAGAATTATAACTAAATTGTAATAAATACTAGGTAAATACCTTCTAAAATTTAAAAGTGAAATCGGAAATCATAAACCCTTATTTGAAATAAATAGTTTATTAAATTTAAATGTGTATATCGTGAGATAATCTGATGAAAAAACAAAAAATAACGTTATTTAGTCAACGTTTTTGAAGAACTTTAGTCAAAATAATGTCAACACGAACAACCGTGTGCACTGTGAAGCCAACTATACAACAATAATTCGTCAATACATTACACATACACGGACGATCATCAGATCAGAAATTAGGGAACAGACGGCGGCCGACGAGTTTTCGTTAACTGGTGCGCAGGTGACTTGTGATTGGCCAGCCACAACACAGTTTACCGTGTGTATACACCGAGATTTCGATAAATTCTTATAGATATTACAACTATTTAGCCACAATTTGACACACTCTGTATAGCGTATAAAATAAAGTGTTGTTATTGATCGGTCGGCAGCAGCTCAATGGCAAGGTGGTAAAAACGCGGGGTGTTTATTTACCCTGTTGACTGTGTTCCAATTCTGCTTTTTTTGTTCTTTTATAATATATTCTGCCTCTGAATATTATTATTCATTATTCCGATCGGAGTTTCATTACTCAATGAATCCGAGTAACGAGCATAATGCTGTCTACTTGTCTGCGATAGGTACTTAAGATTCAAGGACAAAAATAACGTACGGAAGCCGGACTATTTATATTGAACGTGATTAAATTATAAATTCAATCAGTCCGATTCGATTTTGATATTACACAACGCATTATATACATTTACTGTTCATACTACACTAGTTCACAGAATCATAATTTATTTTCGAGTACCATATTGTTCCGAATTTTATGTGAATATATTAAGATATCCCTTTAGATTTCAATATGAAATATAAATTATATTTTTTTCACATGAAAAATAACCTACATAGAAAATTGAAATCCCACAAAATAACGGTCATGGACAATTATTAATTTTCTGAGATAAATCTGATGGGTAACTTTTTAATATCAAATTGGCTAGGGTCCAACTGTAACAAGTAAAAAGAGATAAGAAAAAGAAAAAAAGGGTGGATACTGGAGACGGATGCGCCACTGTTGTCAGTGGGAATTCGAAAGAGTAAGAAACCTACATAAAGTTAGGTATTAGTTAATTACATATAGTATATGAGTACATATAGTTAATTTACATCTGTTGGCAACGATAAACCAACGAAAAAAATTTGGAGCAAAGTTCTGTCATACATCTTTTGAAATGCCGCAATATTATTGATTTTATCTTGTAAAAAAAAAAATTTAAAAATACTACATAACACTTGGAGCATTGTCAAGCATTTCTGTTTAGTCTAACAATGTTATTCACAGATTAGATAACTAATGTTGTAATGATAGGTCTATGTTAAGATTATGATAAGATTGTGATAAGCACGATACATCGCATAAGTTATTAAATATGTTATATAATGTGTCACATCGTCTTAATAGATAATTAAATATAAAACATGGTGCAGTAGGTAGGATTCGAACCTACGCTCTCAAAGGGAGTGTTGAGTTATTAAAAATTGTGTTTAGTAGATTTGGAATTCCCAAACAAGTAGTTGCTGATAATAATCCTTGTAGCTCACAAGAGTTTATAACATTTGCCACACAATGGCAATTTGAGGTAATATTGTCTAGCCCATACTATGCAAAAAGTAATGGCTTGGCAGAAAAAACAGTAGGGATAGCAAAAGGGATGATTACCAAAGCTAGATATGAGAAAAAGATATCAATTTATTTTTACTCAATTATAGAAATAGTCCGGTGGCAGGTTTGGAATACTGGCCTGCACAATTGTTAATGGCAAGGGAGCTACGAACACTTACCGATTTTTTAAATCCAAACATTTTTAAACCAAAATTAGTAAATTATGCTGAAGAAATGCAAAAACAAGAAAATTGTCAGAAACATTGGTATGATAAAACTGCAGGGCCTGAGGAAAAATAATTTTAGGAAAGTAAAAAAGTTTATATATATGATAATTTTAAAAAAGAATGGGATGAAGGAGAGATTGTAAAGAAAACAAAATGGCCCAGGTCATATTATGTGAAAAATGCAAAAGGGAAAGTATTGAGAAGAAATAATTGTTATATAAAAAAGAAATTTAAGATTAAGGACAAGTTTATTAATGATGATGTTATGAATATAGATAAAAAAAGAGGATGAGGATAGTAAGAAAGATAACGATAAAGATGACAGTAATGAGAATAATGGTTCTGGGAGTCAGATGTTAATCACTGGCAATAATAACAGAAAACAACTAGAGGATAGTAAGGAAAAAGAAGTGACAGGGTGTATTATAACAAGGGCTGGTAGACAAATTAAAAAACCAAATAAACCCAATTTGTAGAATCTTAAGAACTAGTAATTAATATTTGTATTATTTAGTTAGTAAGCATCATATTTAAGTATTGTAATTTGTAAGCATATAACATATTGTGTACCTATATTTATTAAGTTTCTATATATTGTATTCCTAAAGAAGATATTGTAATGATAAGACTATGATAAGATTGTGATAAGCACGATAAGTAATTAAATATGTTATGTTAATATATAAGTTACGAATTAAAATGACATAAAAAAACTCTCAAAATTTAAATGTCTATATCATTAGTTCAAAAATGTTTAATGCTTTTAAAATTTTGCCACGTTTACAAAAAGCAAATACATGTTTCCTGACTAAACTTCAAATCTCTAAAAATATTTTTAACTAAATTACAATAAAAAAGCAAAATTGAAAATAATAAACAAATTACGTAAATTTACGTAAATTAAAATTACGTAAATAAACGTAAATTTTTCCACTTTTTCTAATTGGTTTTCGGTTTTGCTCAATTATTTAAAAAACTAGAGAAAATCAAAAAACAAATTTTTCACTTATGCACTAGATTAAAAATTAAACCAAAAAGGTCTCTTGTTTTTCTATTGGAGCAATATTTTTGGTAGAAAACTTAGGCCGTAAAAATTTAAAATAATACTACGCCGTAAATTTGTTCTTTTCTCAAATTTGCCTTTTTCCAGTTTTCCCAATTATTATGAAAACTACTTAGATAATCAAAAACTACTTTCTTCATAAGCATCTAGATCCAAAATTCATTATAAAAAAAAAGATCTCACAGCATTTTATTATTTAATCAATATTTCTGATAGAAAACATAGTTTGCAAAAATTAAAAACAATGAAATCGGTAATGTCGTAAGGGACTGTAAATATTGGCCATTTATCCTATAATTTTCTTTCCAGTTTTTCCAAATTCTTTTAAAAACCGATTTGAAAAGCAAAAATGACCTCTCTTATGAACCAACTAAACAACATTTCTTTTTAAAAAAGCTACTACACTCTATAGATCATAGCAAGATTTCTGGTATAAAAGTTGTTCACAGATACAAAAAAAAAAAATACACATGCAAAACCAATATTTCCCTCACAGTCACACTCTGAATCTAAGATACTTAATAACGATATTAATTTTGTGCTGTTCAGTTCTATTGTTGCGTGCCAATTTTAGTAGCACAATATAATTAATTGAATAAATAGAAACTTGGTTCATAGTTTAAGACTAGATGGTTTTATTAAAATGTATTTAAGCCAAATTGTATGTAACTAGAAATTATGGCTAAGTCCTATAATAATACAAATAGTTTTTCGTCAAGCATAAAGGTATTGAACCTTGGTCAGACACGTCTGCTGTAGGTCCTATTCACTTAGAATTACGTTTATCACGCAATCGACCAAACTTACATCTTTATAATAATGCTTACTGCCCATGTTTATCGACGATATTAGAATTCCATACTTAATTTTATAAGCAATATTAAATAAAATTATGATAATAACCGATTTACAATATTATTATGGGTAGGCATTGGTACCTAGATACACGTGTAGGTACATCATAGCACCGCGTATAACATCTCTAGTTGTCCTAAAAAAGTTTTTTTTAAGGGAAACTGAAATCTTAATAATATTGAGCTATATAACACTCGTAAAAATGTATTAATAGGGATGGGCCGATATGACTTTTTTCCAATGTCCGATATTTGTAATCGAAAATCATGAGTTCATGTTGAAACTAATAGATATATTGGTTGAAAATTCAATTTATTAATATTTTATTCATAATACAAATACATGATACAAATTTTTTTCTAAAATATATTAGTTTTTCAAAAAAAAAACAAATACCATTGATATCAAGTATTTGTTTATGTATCGATCCACCCCTAGTTATTACAATATACAAATTAAGGATTAAGGGAAAAGAGAAGAAAAATATTTCTTGTAAACAGATGGTTTGCATATAAGAAGTATTTCACTATATTATCATACAATATTTACTAAAAATATTTTAATAAAAATGTTGAGTACCTTTAATTAAAGGCATTCAATAGGAATAATTAATTTAAAAATATATCACAGAGTAAATAACAAATATATAAATAAACTGAATTTATTATAAGATTACTTTTACAGCAAAATATCTTAAAAAGTAGTAAAACTAATTTATTTTTAAAAATTTAAATATTTCAAATGAATGAACTTCAATTTGAATCTGATATTCTGAAAAAAAAAATTTTAATTTAAATATTAATTTTTGTTTTTTTCTTAAACAAACAATTAAATATTACTACTGGCACATTCAAACTGTTTTATATATAATAAAACATATTAGATTTTGAATAGTAACATAAAATCTATATTGATTACACAACAATAAGATATTTTCAACAAACCTAATTCTTACAAATAACTTTATTGTGAAACATTTAGTAAAAAAGTAATCATTAACATTTTAAATGTTTACTGTTTATTTATTTCAGAATTGTGTGTATTGTGATACAAATAATATGCGCATAAATAACTACTTATATTGTAAATATAATGAAAACAAAGTATGGGGGAATAAAAAGTAAAATATATGTATTTATTACTAGCTGTCCTGTATAGCTTTGCCCGTGCACAGTACTGAACAAAGAAAAAATAAAAACACATCTCCCTAATATTAACTATTTGGTTTATTTTATCAGTGTTACCAAGGTTAACTTGATTTGAATTTCAAAAATACTAAAAACTCTGTGTCAACCATTTAGGGGTTCAATTTTGTAAATCCTGCTTTGAGGTTCATACAGACCCATTCATCCATTTTTGTGTATACATTTTTAGACCTTATATATTTTATATTTTAAAAGTAACACTATAATCTTCACCTTTATATTAAATATTATAATTTATATTTTTCTCAAAACGCCTTGAATATCAGCTGGCGCTAGATCAAAAGGTGTAAGTTTGTCTTTATTCATTATAGTGGTATCAGCACCACTCTTAATTAATAAGCCAGCTTCTTGTACACGCCCTTCTTCACAAGCCAAATGCCTAAAAATATTTATAATAATTAGCATCGTAAAATACATACAATTTGAAATATATTTTCTTACAGTGGTGTATTTCCATAAATATCTTTAGCATTAATATGTACACCGGATTCTAATAACAACTTTAACACTGATACATTGCCTTTTGATGCACATCTATGCAATGGTGTAGCTCCTCGATTATCAGAAATGTCAACATCAGCCCCTTTGGATAGTAGATATCTAACAATCTAAACAATTTTATTTTATTTTATACTAGTTATTTTACACGGGTTTGTACATGTCAGTATTGAATGATAAAAAATGTAAAAAAAAAAAAAAATTAAAAAAATATTTTCCCATGTCTGCAGTTAAGATTTATTACCTGCAAATTTAGAAATCTGTTTTCTTGCCTATCATCAAAGTTCATCACTAAGTTCACATTTTATATCATAAAAGTTTTCTTATCCATACCTATTCAATGGCAACCCTATACATAGGTAAATGAAAAAAATATTCGATTTTCATGATCCAAAACAAAATTCATGTGAACCACTCAATAGCAACATTTAAGGGTTAAAAAACAAAGTTACAAACCCTTCCCGAGTCTTAAGAAATATGTGTGCAAAATTTTGTATTAAATGGTTTATTAATTTTTGAGTCTATAGATCAAGAAAGAATGTATTTTAAATGCATAAATAAATAAATGAGTCGCATGAAGTTTTATAAAATGTGTACTAAGTCACATATTACTTTTTGACTTTATGATTTTACCTGACGATGAATTATTAATTCAAAACCGGTCGTACAATACACATTTCATAAAACTCCAGGCAACATATTCATTTATTTATTTATTTACGAATATTAACCATTTAATAATTTTGTTTCTATTTTATAATTTTATGAATGAATATTAATTGTTTTATATTAAAGATTTGAATATTTAATGTCAGCTTACTTCTGTCCAACCTTTTGAAGCTGCATATTGAAGTGCAGAATGCCCATCTACATTTTTTCCATTAATATTTACTCCATTTTCTACAAGAATTTTAACTGAATCAATACGACCAGCAGATGCAGCTAGTATAAGAGGAGTGGTTTCCATCTAAATAAAAATAATTAAAAATATTATGAATGATAAAAATAATAATTATCATTTAAATATATACGTCATCTTTAGAGTCTTCTGGTTGACCATTAGCAAGCAGATATTGAACTAGTCTATCGTGTCCTCCAAGAGCTGCCCAATGCAGAAGCAATCGATTGTTCTAGAAAAACAAAAATATTGAATTAAGAAGTATCAATAAAAAACAAATAAACATACTTCACACGATGTGATGGGCCACTATTGTAGGTGAAAAGTTGGAAAGGTGGAAGGGAAATTTAATATATATCTGTACGCAAAACAATTCTAAACAGAGTTTGGTTATACACGTTTTGAAAGTCTGTAATATTTACAATATGAAAATAATATATTTCATAAATTTTCCCATTTAATTATGAAAACCACTGGGATGAAAAATGACATCCCTTAGTATGTAGTATAATAGTATGTTCAATTACCACTAAAATATCTGAGCAAATTGTTTAGTAGAAAAGTTGTTCACAGAAAAAAAAATCAATAAAAAAGTAATTATCATTATAAATGAATACATTCCTTGCTCCACTTAGTATCTAAAAGATTCTGTTGGACATTTTATATTAATTGATGCATTTTTAACAGAGATAAGTTCCACTAGAAATGTTTGATTTGCATGATCTATAATCAATTTGCCAAATTAGTTAGGCAGATAGGTACTCGCATGACAAAATACTAAAGTAGATAGTTATGATTAGGCACTTGTTCATTATGTATGAAATATATTCTATATTATATTTATATCAATTTATAATTAATCTAAAATAAAATAAATCACTGTAAATTATAACATTACTTACGACATCAACATCTTTTAATAGTCTCAAATGTTCTTCAACTGTTGTAATAACAAGTTCAGTATTACCTTTATAGGCATTTTCGAAAGCTTTTTCTTTTATCTTTTCGAAATCCATAATATCTATTTTCTGCTAAATAGATTTAGATATTAATAATGTTATAATTAAATCGCGTTCTGTGTTGTTCAGTGTACACACAAGTTAATGAAAAGTGTGAAATATACTATGTGTGGTTCTTATTGATGCATGATATAAAGATAAACAATAAAGAATAAACTGAAATGTCATGTTGTATTATATTTATTATTTATTTCGTCAAGTTGTATACAAACAAGATTCTGTGATTAGAGTACAGTGTATTCGCATGATACAATAAACAGATAACCATGTCGGCGGCAACTTTTTGAAAAACACAAAATGGCGGTATCGCCTATGTACTCAAAAGCGGCTAGAAATTCGGAATGTCTAATCGGTGAATTTACCCGACGGTCACCAAGCCCGCAGTGGTGACTGGTAGAAGAAATTCGGATAGGTTATTAAAAGTACCCGTGTTTTATCATATTGTATTAATTCGTTACACACGAGAAATAAAATAAACAAAATAAATATTATCATTCCAGCTTAAAATTCGAATATTGTAATTAATGCAGGGGTAACATTCCGTGTGTTCCTAATTTCAGCAGATTGGTCAGCCGCCAGATTTAACTGTTCCTAAACTCAGCTGCTGACCAATACGTTGGAGGTAAAGTGATCAATCGAATTGCCGATAAATTGAGTCCCAAACGGTATTATCGTATTTCGAAATCGGTTAGCTGAGTTCCTCGTATGAAAATGAAAGCCGTAAATTGAGTCCTATTTGAATTATGATCAAATACTGTTATTTGTATTATTATTACATTTATCAGTTAATCACACAGAATACACTATGATTAACGGAATGCATTTTTATAGACTGACATAATAATATAATAAATAATATTTCGACATTTCCTCAAATTGATAATAATAGTCACAGTTAGTAGCAGCATTGATTAAGTATGCCTAATTAATGGTTGTTTCAATTATTAATCTATAAGGTAAGATAACTGTATCGTTCATTCCAAGTAGGCAGGTACTAATTAGAACCGTTTAATTTATTAATGATATAAACATTTTTTTTTTTTTTCTCTACTGTCTAGTATAAACTTAAATCATATACTATGGATACGGAGCTGTTGACTAAATATTTGAAGTAAACAAAACTAAGGGGAGCTGGACAAATGCGCATGCGCAAAATTTGTATTACGCGCAATTGATCGAATTCATGTAATTACGCGTGACGTACTCCATACATCACTGCATGGTGGTATTATACGATAAATATACGACGAGTACTGATCAAACAGACATCAGTCCCCTTAGCACTCGTTAATAGCACTCGTCTTCAACTAGAAGTACGCGTTTATCGTGCAGTAACTCCAACCATAGTATATGATCTAAGGGTATAAATTACGATTTAAGACTATCTAAATTAAGGCGACCATTTTCACGGTCGTCAACTGATAACAAATTAAAGCCATTTGTTTACATTTTTGTATAATACATGTACCGTGTATAGGTCAAGGATTAAGATACACTGGACTGTCATCGACATGGTCGGGAGGTAGTAGAGGAACGATTCCCAAAGGTTTCGACACCGCCACTCCATGCATCACCAAGAAGTACAAGTAGGGGTAAAAGCGATCCTAGTAATATGTAACGTAACTAATTTGTATATTAAGATGTTTTCTGATTATAATGATTAATTATTTGTACCATTGTGTTTTTTATAACACGTGTATAGATAGCGCTTTTACCTCTACTTACACCTAACGGCGGCTTTCATAACATTTGAGGGCCACTGATAAGGTCATAGATACCAGTCTAGTATCAGTGGAGTTTAATAGGATCTTTAACCATGGTCCGTGGTGAAAATGGTATACTGATACCATAATATTAATATACCTAATATTCATATGAATTATTGACATATTCTTCGTTACTTATTCAACTTATTAAGACGTTAAACTATTTAAAATATGTCAATAAATAATACCACGTAGCAAAAATGTTTTTACAACGGAAAAGACTACGTTGGTCGAATTGGCTGCTAAACCAACTGTTGTCTAATAACTCTAGGTAGTTCTTGCGTTCTTGAAAAATTGTCTGTTTCCTATTTGCAATATTTAATTCGGACATTTCATTTTCGTAGTCTGAACAATTTTTTAGATTCTGAGTGAAACAAGGAATATTATTGGTTTTACAATGATGTTAGAATTATGAAAAGAGCAATATATAACTGCGATTTAATTGAAAGTGATTCTTCAGACTACGAAAATGAAATGTCCGAATTAAATATTGCAAATAGGAAACAGAAAATTTTTTAAGAACGCAAGAACTACCTCGAATTATTAGACAACAGTTGGTTGGTTTAGAAGCCAACTCAACCAACGCAGTCTCTTTCGTTGTAAAAACATTTTTGCTACGTGGTATTATTTGTTGACATATTTTAAATAGTTTAACGTTGAATGTATTTTAAAATTTTAAGACGTTAAATAAGTAACGAAGAATATGTCAACAATCAATATGAATATTAGGTATATTGGTATTGAGGTATCAGTATACAACTCATCCACTGATACTGGATTGGTCTCGATGACCTTATCAGTGGCCCTCAAATGTTTTGAAAGCCGCCGTTAAGTACATGTAAAAGTAAAAGCGCTATCTATACATATGTTATAAAAACACAATGATAAAAATAATTAATCATTATAATTAGAAGATAACTAAATATACAAATTAGTTACGTTATTTGTTACTAGGAGCGCTTTTACTCCAACTTGTACTTCTTAGTGATGCGGGGAGTGGCAGTGTCGAAACATTTGAGTATCGTTCCTCTACTACCCCTCCGACCATGTCCACTCAATCCAGTGTATCTTAATTCGTACTTCCGTGCCTTGTGGTATCCAGCCAATACTGTCTTGTAGAGTCCGTGCGTAAACTTATTTCTTTATCATTATACCATATTTTCATATAGATGGTTTTTTCTCCATAGGTAATAGGTAAATACAACTTATATCAGTTTCAAGTGGTCATGTACAATTTTTATTTTATGTTCAATACTATTGTAAAATGGTAAAAAAAGTTAATTGTATTTTAATTATCAATTTTAAGTAAATTTCTTAAATATTCTTTATTTTTCTATTTATTTTTCTATTTGACATTACAAGTTTAACTAAATGCGGTGTTGCATACATTTAAATATAATGTTATAATGAAAAACTGTTCCTGTACATTATTTCGGAGATAAATAGAAACTATACAGTTTTTTGTGAAGTAAGTTTAACAATTATTACTCATTTTCATTTAAAATAAATGTGAAAATTAATGAAGTTTTAATATTTAGCCATAAATTATCTATATTATATTTCCTAAAATCGGTGGTATAAATGAAATATTTATGAAATATATATTATAACTGTACAATATCGTAATTTGTCTTAATTTTAATATATAGGTACTATAAGTTAACTATTTTTGAATTTGAATAATTTCAAATTTGTGAATTAATTAATTTATTCGATCTATGTAGTAATATATTGATCGTGATGACGCCAGTTCTTCACCTGTTTGATAGCCGAAATAGTAGATTTTTAGTCAGCATATATTATATACCAGGTAATTGAATTAAAATCAATCACCCGGTATTAGCCGTTGCTAAGGGTGCACCATCTAGAAGGTAAACACATCATACACCCATTTTTGAATTGGTCAATTGTTATCATATATTATTGTAGGTATTCCACAGTATTTTTAAAACAATGTATATTGATCTATTTATTTATTTTTTGCATGTCAATCTACCAAGCTACGTTAATGGCCATACAATCTCAAGTACCTATATTAAACAATGTTGGCACTGTACCAGTATACTTAGGCAACATTGAATTAATCTCATTTAACAGTTGCATTATCCATACATTTTTTTTGCCACCATCACATCATAGTATGGCTTCAGTATCCCTAAAAAGTGTATTATTCTGTGGTTGATTTACAGCTAAATTTGGATTGAATGCAGTTGGGCTCTCAAATGATTTTTTGAAATTTTTTTCCAAAATATGTGTTTTTGCATGCTTAATTTACATTATTAAAATATTTTTTTTAGAAAAAAAAATTGTTTGATGAAATCTGAACCAACAAAATTTTTTGGTTTGGAGAAATAGTGAAAAAATGTATTTTCTTATGGATACATAAACATCACATTTTATCTTTAGAAAAATATAGTTCATCTAATACTAATTTTTTTTTTTCTTCCTGAAGCCAAAATAATAAAGTAAAACCTAATTGGGGAGTGAAGAAGACCTGAGGGGCATGGTGAAATTAATACAACAATTATAACATCAAATTATTGTAATAAATAACAAAATATTTAATTAAGTTTTAAAATTTACTTTTTTTTTTTATGTGAATTCTTGGAATAATCTAGACATTTCCATACATATTTGTAAATGCAATCAACTTTCAAACATTTGAGAGGATGCCATGAACGTATTTTAATGTGTTATATTTGACAATTAGCAACCAAAACTGCAATTTTTCAATTACTGCCAAAGAAACAGCCTCTTGGAGTTTTCACTCAAACAGTTCATAAATATCAACAAAATATAAGTTAGTTCTGATTTCACTAAAAACTTTTTTATGTAATTAGACATCAAATGAAAAAAAAATTTTGAGTTACTTTAATATGCAAGCGATTGAAATAACATTATAATTAAGTTTTACATGGTTTATTAATAATAACAAAATAAATAAATACGATAAGTGAATTCTGATTTCCCCAAAATGTTAAGCATATGACCACCATTTCTCAATAATAATTCCAAAATATCAATTTTTGGTATTTTAAACTCAAAAACATGACTTTTACAAAAATCGATTATTTTGAAGTTTTTCGACCATAACTTCCAAATGAAGTTTGAGTGACTTATTTTAAAAATTACCATCAAATTAAGTATGCAAAAACACATTTTGGAAAAAAAAAATTGCTTGAGAGCTAAACTGCATTTATGCCCTAAATTTATTCTGTAATAGATCATTGACCTTTTTGTGTTGTTTGACAAGTATTTTATTGGTATAATTACCTCATGATATATAGGTATAATACAGAGCATTGCGAAATCGATTCCTCTACATAAAAAACTAAAATATTTATAAATTGTTTCCTAATCAAATTATATTGATACTGTATTACTGAACAATTTTTTTCCTATAACAATTTCATTAGATTTGATCTAAGCTTTAATTTAATTTATGTCAGTTATATTTGTTGTGTATTACAACTTATAAGTTATGTGCGTTAATATGGAAGTGATTATTGTTAAAACGTGGAGTGAATAAAATAAAAAAAATGTCTTAGTCGATACTTAATGGTTGGAAGAATAGATTACAAAAAAAAAAAATTCACCGAGAGCATTGGACAGTGAATTTGTACAAAGTTAAGTTTTTGGATAAGTTCTAAATTATTTTGAATAGTATGTTTGATAATCTTAAATATATGTAAAACGGGAAGGAAATTGTTGTTTGGTAATTATGGATTGTACATAAACAGTTAATAAAGTTAATTTTACATAGTTTTATTATTTATAGAAAAGTAAATTAATAATCTTATTTGGTAGTTGTTATAAATATCCTAGTCACATTTGATAATAACATTAATCATAGATAAACCCTGTAAATTAAATTACCAACTTCCATTATTTACTGTAAGTTTTGGTATTTTCATACAAATCTTGTAACTAATAATGACAATAACCTTAAAATTTGGTTCCTATTGACATTTAATAATGATGATGAAAAATAAATATGTTTTTTCTTAACGGTACTTTTTGGTTATCGCTACTACCAACAATAGTTAAAATGTAATATAATATTGATATAAGCATAAAAATAAAATAATATTTTAAGAAAGCAGAAGAATGTTTAATGAGAAGAAGAAGTGATTTGGCATTTTTGGAAATTAAAAAGCTTTTTTGTTAAAGGTTAATATGATGCAGGAACTTTAATATGCAAAAACGATAAAGTACAAATAGAATCTGATTGAAATGCTAAAAAATGGAAAGAATACCTGGAAGAGTTATATGAGAACAACTTAAACATAGTATTTGAAACTGAAGATAATATAGAGGAGGAGGATAAAGGAGATTATGTCTTGCGTGCAGAATTTGATCAGGCATTGGGACTTCTTATAAACAACAAAGTCCATGGTATTGATAAAATCCCAGCAGAGTTACTAAAATACACAGATAAAGATATTAGAAATGAATTGTACAAAATATGTAATGAAGTATATCTGAAGGGAAAAACTATTAGTGATTTCGAGAAAGGTATTGTGGTACTGATTCTAAAAAAGATTGAAACACAAAAATGTGAATAGTACAGAGTACAGAACACTAAACCTCACCACACATGCCTCCAAAATCATCACCAAATGAATTAAAAACGGGATTGATAGAACGATAGAGCTAAATCTAGGTAATGATCAATTTAGATTTAGGAAAAATATAGGAACTAGGGAAGCAATCTTAACTTCAAGAGTACTAATAGAAAAACAAATCGGAAGAAGCAAAGATACATTTGTTGCCTTTGTCGATTTGGCTTTTGTTAATGTAAAGTGGTGTAAATTATTCGATATCCTAAGAACAATTGGAATTAAGTACTAAGACTGAAGATGCATCCATAATTTATTTAAAAACCAAACTTTACTAGTTCGCATAGAGGGAAAAGAAGAAGAAGCAAAAATTAAAAAGTATTTAAGGCACGGCTGCAAATTATTGCCTATGTTGTTTAATCTATATATTGAGGAAGTAATGAAAGAATTAAGAATAAAAATATGGAGTAAAATCATTAATACACTCAGGTTTGCTGACGACATTGCTTTTTATGCAGAAACGGAAGATAAACAATAAAACATCTTATCTAATGTAAATAAAATATTATGGGATGAATATGGAATGAGATTAAATAAAAAAAGATAAAGGTTATGGTGTGCAGCAAGACAAATCTTATTCAGCTTAAAATAAAAATAGATAACACACACATAGAACAAGTGCATCACTTTAATTACTTGGTAAGTAAAATGACAATAGATGGACGAAGCAAAGGTTACATTCTAAATAGAATAACATAAGCAAAAAAAGCTTTTCAGAATAAAAAACACCTATTAACCACTAATAGTGTGACTTAAAAGAAAGGAAAAAGTTCCTCAAAATATATGTTTGGAGCCTTATATGGCTATGAAACTTGGACATTCAGTACAGTAGAGAAAAAGAAACTAAAAGCCTTTGAAATGTCGTGTTATCGTAAAATGCTAAAGATAAAATGGATTAAAAGAATAAAGCAGTATTAGGTAGAATAAAAGACAAGAGAGAACTTTGGCATATTATAAAAGTTAAAAGAGACAAGATAATAGGACATCTACAACACCATGATAGCCTAAAAAAAAGTGTCATAGAAGGTGACATTGAAGATCATATTGGAAAAGGAAGACCAAGGATGGAGTATATGAACCAAATTATGATAGACATGGGGAAGAATAACTACAAGGAATTGAAGTAACTGAGTAATGACAGGGATGGTTGAAGATCTGCAACAAACCAATCAAACTATTGAAGACGTAAAGAAGAAAATACAATTTAATACAATATAATATTAATTTAAATATGTGTTAAAATTAAAAAAAAGAAATGAAAAAATTGTTAAAATTAACGAAAGTCTTTTTACGAAGCTTAAATTTCCCGCCTCGTGTAAATTATTAATTTTATCAATTGTATTATATTTTAATTAACGGTAATTTCAATAACCAAATAACCATACCAGAAAATCGTCCACAGTCACGATAACAAAAAAGTACCTTCTTAACTTTGCATTTGTGTTTGTCTATATGTAGAATATTATGAACAAATTGTAAATATATAGTCCGAGTATCTACAAATAACTATTGATATTTTTCTGTTTATTGTAATTATATAAATATACTAAGTGTCGCTAAAATAGTATTTATATTATTAATTGGGTTTACTAAAATTGTCGAACATCTAGACATTTTTGAGTCTTCATCTTGGAACAGATTTTTAATGACTTGTAATTTGTGTATACGTCTATAAAGTTCAACAATATCAAAAATATTATAGAATATTAATTTATTTTATATTAATGATACATTTTTTATTTATTAAGTATATTTTGTCAAAACATTTGGAGAACACCAGTGGATAATTGGGTGTTAAAAAAATTTTGAAGATTAACTTAAGGTAAGTATTTAGTTAACTTGTGATAATATATTTGATATACAATATAGGAACTTAGTAAAATATGTAAAAAAAAATGTATTTTTATTATTTATTTATGTGAAAGATTTTTGCATTATGTATATTTAAATTAAATTTTTAACTTTTTGATTTTGATTTGTGAATACTATATAGGAATCTCATATTTATAGGACTCTGTGAAATATATAATAAGTTTGTCCAATATAGTGTGAGGTAATCATATTAAATTTTGTATTTTTACATAATTGCAAACAATCTTTGTATAATAGTATAATGTATGGTTGTTACCACAGCTAAATAATATAATATCTATGTTGTCAACTCTGTCTGCATTACAGTTTGATTATAAATATTTTTTGCGGAGAAGTAAATTATTATTATTGTATTATTTGGCATATAAATTGTGCTTAAAGCCCTAATAAATACTAATGTAATGTGAAGTAATTAGTGGTATTTGTTTCTTTTGTATATTCATCAATTTTTTTTAGAAAAATATATAAACGTATACTATTTTTTCATGCTCAAATTAGTATTCAATTTAATCAACTATTTACCTACAAATGATATTAACATTGTAGGTTTTATTTTACTATATTTCATATATCCTACTAATATTATAAATACAGAAGTTTTTTTGAATGGGTGTATTCCTTCACATCTAAACTATTGAACGGTTTGAGCTGAAACTTTGCATAGGTGCAGTTCTAGATCAGGAATAATATGTATACATATTTTCCTTAAATTTAACTCTTAAAGGATTTTTGATATTTTTAGTATAAAAATCAAATTATTTTTATGCGACCTTGGTAATACAAATGAAATTTAAAAAAAAAGTTAAAACACACCAAATAAAAAAATGAATATTATTTCTTTTAATATAGGCAATGCCGAGTGGGACAGCTATTATATTAGGCAAAATTTAAATTTCAATATAATTGGTTAGATGATTATTCATACCTGGTTTATTCCAAAAAGATAATAGTGTTTACTGTTGACACTACATAGTTTTTGGTATGAGTGTGAGTAATCTTAATCAAATTTAACTCTAATTACTTTCTTATGTTATTAAACAAAATAAGTGGGGGGAGTTATCAACAAATTGAATGTTTAAAAATAAAGACCCCTATAATATAATTAATTGTATTTTTATAAAACAAATTTGGTACCATTATTTTAATTACATCCTTTTTTTATATTCAATATATATAAGTTGATAGCAGTAAAATCTCAATCTATAAGTTAGACCATGATATTAGTAAATAGTATAAGTGGCACTTTTCATGGCATAAGAGATCTTAAATCATGATAAACATGTAAGTTGTATTATATATTTTATTTAAATACAGTATTGTTTAAAGTTGTCATTTTATAAATTGTCTAAATCTACTACATACAATATAATATACTGTATGGTACTTAATAATTTCCTATTTTATAAGATGTTTGGTATTTCAATCGATAAATGTTCATGGACAATAAGTTGATCAATACAATAAATTGTTTAAAAAAAATTGTCTAAATATGTGAAAAAAAACCAGAATTGTTGGGAAATATGTACATTTTTTTATATTTATTCATTCTGTGAATATATAGTAAAAATTTTAGTATAACGATGCAACAATTCTTAGCAATATCTGTTAGGTTTTCTATCTCATATGCGGTAGTCAGATCCAGATTTTGGCTTAGGGCTCTAAACTTTGAACAAAATAAATAATAAAAAATTAATTACAAGGGAAGGGCAGAATACTAAATGCCTAAGTTAGAACTTTGTAAAATCCACTTCTTTTTTTTCGACAATACCTTTTTTACTCAGTTAATCTGCTAAATACTGCACTGACAATAGTTTTTTTTATGTTTGTGTACATGATACAAATTACAAAAAAATCCAGAAAAACACATTGTAAATTTTGATGTCCTCACCTTTCACCTAAATTAATCTCTGGAAATTACCCAATTTTTTTTTTTTGGTTGAATTCTTGAAATATTAATGAAATTATTTGTTGTATTTGTCATTTGTTATTAGTTTATTCAAGTTAGCAGTTTCATTATTGCGATTTTTGTGATTTAATTTTTTATATAACAAATTTGTTATTAAAAGAACTTAGCTAGTGAATTCCACTGTATTCAAAATAAAATATCTGCTCAATTAATTTAAAATAATATGAAACAAATTGTTCATTTTCCTAAATTTGTTTTTCAAATCTAAGTAAAAAATTGGTATTTACAAAAAATAACCAACAAAACTTTCAGTTATTACTTTGATATTTTCAATTATTATAGTTGAACTTGGTTTAATTTATGGTATAAGTCATAAGACATAATATTATGCAATATGTATTATGTATTATCAATTATTTGTATTTATATTATTGCAAACTATAATATATTTTGGATAAATTTAATTTACCGTCTTCAGAGTACTTTACTTCTGAGGTTTTCTGCATAAAAAAAATAAACAAACATATTTTTTAACAGAGCTATTGATGCTCTAAACATTTTCAGTAATAAACCAAATTATTAAAAGTTTCAACTATTTTACAGAATACCTTTAGAAATAATTCTAAAATTAATAGTTCTTTTATTATTATATTAAGTTTAAAATCTTTTATTTTATACAATGTTATACATTTATTGTACCTTAGATTATTTATTACTATTTAATATGCATTTCCATTATTTCATTAATACAAAAAAAAAACTAACTTTTTAATATAAAATTACACCTAATTATATTTTTAAAATACCAAATATGATGTACATACCATTATGGATGCTAAATAAGGTAAGTAAATACAAAAAACTGAATATCAATGTGTTTTGTTCATATATTCAAATTAGGTCTAATATAATTACTATAACCCAAATTTATTATAATATGTCTGTATTTAAACCAAAGTAATACTTTTTTAATGATTTAATTTGAATTATATGTTTCGGAGTATATCTATTTAAATGTTAAAATAGTGAAAATATAAAATAAATTAGTATTTATAATTTGTATTTTCAAAAACAATTAGTTAAATATGTTATTAAGAATTTATTTAACCAGCCTTAATAAAATATTATACATAGGTTGTAATAGTTATAATTCCTATATTATAAAACAAATATTATACCTATAACATGATTAAAATTAAAATTAAATTTGTGCAGTTATATTTGTGTTACCTATAAATGTATAATATTTTATTTTAGTTGTTTAAATATTTGTATCTATTAATATGGTACAGCAGAAAATTATTTTTATAAATATAAATAGTTCAATATTGTTATTTTTCAGCTATTCTAAAATCAACCACGAATCCATACGTTGAAATGGCTAGAAGAACATGTGTTTTATAAGATTTGAGTGCAGTGGTTAATTTTTTTAAACAATTTTTGTTTTATTTTGTTGTTTTTTTTTTTTTTAAATTGAGTGATTATTTAACAACTTTACTATTTCAATGAATCATCAAGATTTTAATGATTTTGACATTGAATCAAGTTTTCAAGAAGATGATAATGTCATTATCAAAAAACCATTCATTCCTGTTAAACCTCCAAAAGCAGTATCTCCTACACTGCGTTTGACCTATAAGGTAATAATATTTATTTGTTTATAATTATTTCAATCTGTAAATGATAATATCATACAAATACATTTATTTAATGTAATTTTAGAATAATATGTATATTTTGTTTATAATTATTTTATGACTATTATTATTTTAAATGTTATTTTTGTCATTTAAAGAACTTAAATTTCATATTAATAATCAAAATATTTCCTTACATATTTCCAATTAAAAATCCTTGTTTATTATATATTTTTCAACAAAATTCCATTTATTTTATTTCAAAAATTATTTTTAGTTTTGAATTTACTTAAAACTACAAAATAATTTTTAAAATCATTAATAATTTGATTTATAAATGGTTAATAAATGTAAATTGTATTGTATGTTTGTTTGGTTATTGTACTCTTAAGTAATTTAAGATATTCATCTAAAACTATGTAAACTTATATTAAATATAAACATTTTTAAGATAACATTAATTTCTCATATATGATCTAATAAATAATTTAATAACATATAAATTATTATTATGCATAATTTAGTGCATATAACAATGGAATTAATAAAAATAGTTTTCCAAATAATGATTAAAATACCTACTTACATATTTAGGAGAGGAAATATGCTTCACTGTAACATTTTAAAGTTGTTTTTACATCCATCAATGGACAAAAAAAACTTAAAAGTGTAATTTAAATATAATAATACACCTGATACAGTTTTCAATCGCTGCATTTTCTCCTCAACTGTACACATTGTACCGACTACCCAAATCTGTGATGTTAGACCGTAGAGCAATCACCAAGAAATGAGACACGGGTACGATTCTTACTTATGCTGCCTGATTTTTAGTACTATTTTCCAGACAAGAACAGTCACGTCACACCATTCAAAATGTTTAATTTAATTTTGAAATACTTGATTTTATTGTACTTAGTTAGTGTATACAAATAGAATATAGTTAATATTATTGTAAACAATGAAAAATTAATGTTTTTAATAAAATAGATTCAGAATAATATTCAATATTGGCGAAATTGTAAGAAAAATACATTTTGTGTTTTGTTTTATCTACAGGGTGATTCACTAAGCGAGCTTATCCCATGTTTTTGTTTAGGTTAAATTTTGTGTGTATTCATATAATAACTTGGAATTTTTAAGTTCAGTTAAAGCCGATATTTGAAAACTAAAATTAAAAAAAAAAACCTTTTAATATAGGTTCTCATTTAAAAAACCAAAGTTGAGTATCACAAGATACTCCTCAAATGTTGTAAAAAATCTAAATACTCAAAAATATCAGCTTTAACTACACTTAAATATTCCAAAAATCAAAATTTGAATATATGAAAATATAGCCAAAAAATAATGGGGTGAGCACACTTATTGAATCACTCTGTATATATTATATATATATATATTTGTATATTGATTTCTATAAAAGACTTTAAATATGACTAACCTTTTGTTTATGTATTTTTTTATGTTGAATAATTAAAATAATTTATTTTCATGCAATTTACTCATTTATACTAATAGGAAAGTTCTATTTAAAATTAGGTATTTGAGAAGTGGTACTGCATTATTAAGGATATATTTAGTATTAATAAAACGAATATACTATAGTTGAATAATTATATTAAAAAGTTAACTTTTTAAATATTTGATGTAAAGAAATTGTATTCTTATAAAAATGTTTGTACAATACATAATAAATATCTTAGGAGCACAATTTTAAGATAATAATACATCCTTGGAACTAAATAAAAAAAACTAGTTCCTTATTGAACAATGAAATTATTTAATGTTTTTCTACAAACTACCTCATTGTCAAGAAGAATAAAAATGGGTTATATTTTATTATATGTTCATAAAACTAGTCTGCCATATTATTATTATAAATTATATACATAATATTGTTGCTATAAAAATGTGATTGTAAAAATATTCTTTGTGTAAACATTATTTTCTTTTTCTTTTTAAAATGGATTATTTTTTATTAATTTAATTTTAATTTTTCGAATTATTAATTTGAATGGCAAAATACATTTCTTTCATACTTAATAGTATGTTTTTAATGTTTCGTTAATTAAAATCTTTATGATTTTGTACCTTATAGGCATCTACTAGGTTGTCTCGAGAAGAACAATTGTTATCTACAATTGTTCATTTAGATAATGGTACAACTGGTTATTTAATTACTTTAAATAAAAATACGGGAACATGGTCATGTCATGCTTGTTATCCTTTCAAAGCCCCATCTTTGTCATTGCTGGAACAACATTTAACCAGCAAAAATCATTTATTAGAAATGGGAAAATCATGTTTTCCAGCCCAACATTTTATCAAAGCAAATTTAGAAAGTAAGTTAAATATATTATATTAAATTATTTTATATAGTTGAATTAAATAGTTATATTGTTTTTTAGCCGGGCTAAGTGTTGGTTTACCATCAATGATATCAGGTGAACCAATTCCACCAGGAATGGAAGATGAAGTGGCAAATGTTTTAGCACGTATTCAAGCTACACTGGATTCAATTTTTATTCCATTAGTTGGCATTGAATTTATTATTGAACTGTTACCATCTGATCCAACAGAAGAACCTAGGTACTTGTGTGCATTATGTGATAAACGAGGTGATCCGCGTACTTTTCCTAACCATTTACGCAGTTTTAATCATCACATGGCCTACCTAGTAAGTATTTAATTTATAAATAATTGTTTTATTTTTTAATATTATTATTAATTATGAGTAAGGCTAAGGACTTCATGCCCTAAAAACTTTTAAAAATGCATACATTAATGCTCTAAAAATTATTAAATATGCTTTTAAAAATATTTTAGTTTACCATTAAAAAACCTAAAAATTTAAATGAATGTGATATATTTAATTTTCTTTTTGAATTCTTCTTTATTAAGAAAAAAAGAAAAACTTTTATAAAATGCATGTTGTATTTATAATTTATAAGTTTTAAACTCTTACCTAAATTAAAAATGTCATTGTGTGACATTTTTCTAATATTTTCAAACTAACATCAACTGACAGTATTCCATATTGATTGATTATTATATATGTGTATTAATAAATATAAATGATTGGGGAAACCACTTGCTAGATAAATATTCTTCAATTTCAAGATAGTCATATTAAATATTATATAATATTTCAATCATGATTATATTTGAAAAATAGAAAAATAAAACAAAGTGTGCAAAATGAACAAAATATGCCTTAAACTTCTAGTACTATTACTACTAATTTCTAAATTATTCAGCTTTATATTATTGAAAAATATGCAAATTCTTTTAAGTCCCTAGCTCTAATTGTAAGTTATGGTACACATAATATTACTTTAATATCCTTTATTTATAAAATATTTACATTATTATTGTTTGAGTTTAATTTAAAATTAATTGTTTTAAATATTTTATTGTATATTAGAGAAGATATTTTAGATCATTAGCATGTGAATTGGATAAGTTAAATAAAGTGTCCGCAAAAGGTTTTCAAGAATTAGTTTTTCATATTATTGGAAAAATAGAAGAAGAATATGGCCGAATGAAACCAATAGTTGTTGATGCAAGTCTGTTTGATATGCCTACTGAAAAAATAAAAATTCTAAGACAAGTAAATAATGGAAAACATATAATGTAAGTAAATATTATATTGTTTATTTATTTATTTAATGAATAAATTTTTAAATTTATTTTTATTAATTATTTAACTTATTTTTCATTAGCTAATTAATAATTAATAATTATGAACTAGTAATTTTATCTACTCAAAGATAAACCTTTGTTTGAATAAACATTTTAAATTACTGTTCTATTGTATAAGATTCAGTGTAGCAAGGGATGTATTGATTTACTATAAGCTTTTTATTTTTATATCTAAACAACTTTTATACACAAAATCTTATTCTAATCAGCAACTTAAGGGATAATCCCTAGTATTAAATTTTGCATTAGGGAAGCCATTATTTAATTTCTCTTGTAGTTTTATTATTAGGAGGAAAACTTTTGTAAAAATGGGAATAGGTTTCTATTATTTTTTGATTTAATTTATTGTTGAAATTCAGTTAAAAATAATTGTACGAACATACAATTTTCATTATATACTTATTATACTAGTACTTTATAAACATGGTGGAATTTAAAAAATATTCTGGTCTTTTTTTCAGTTATTTTGTCTATTTTTTTTTTATATTTCATAAGTTATTATTTGCACATACTGGTATAACCAAACAAGTTTTCAGTATATTATAAAAATAATACTAATTTAGACTTTAGAAAGAAAAATCAACCTAATTATGTAATAACCTTATAATTGATGACATAATCAAGAAAAACTTTAGTGAAAATTCTATACAAATTGAATTTTGTTAATAAATATTCTATCTTTAAAATAGGGAAAGTCAAGAAGATATATGGATGTTAGATATGATAAAACCAGAATTTGTAGAAAATCCAACTCTGCTGCAAGAAAGATGTAAGTAATTGTTATTCGTATTTTCTTGATGTTATTAATATGTAGTTAAACAAATTTTCTTTTTTAATTCTACTATAATATCATTTTTGATGATTTATTTTAAGTTCCTTTAAAAAAAATAATTGAAAAAAATAAACGTGAACAAGAAGAATTAGAAAATGCTATTAAAGTTGAAACGTAAGTAAAATATTAATTACATTTATTATTAATGTTAATAATTGTTTATTACATAATTTATACTAGTTCATTTAATAAAAATACAAGAATTTCTGTTAATAAATCTCAACTACGTGCAAAGAATGATAAAGATGAAAGTGATTCTGATATAGAATTTGTTGATATTAAACCCAGTACTGGCTCTAGACCAAAGGTTCATGTACCAAGTAATATCTTCTGTTTATATGTTAATTAAGTAAAATATTTTATGAGCAATAATATTGTTTATTTTTAGGAAGAGTTTCAAAAGATAGGAAACGTAGATCACCACTTAGAAAACATCATCGTTCAAGAAGCCCTCCTTATCGTCATAAATCACGTACCCGTTCAAAAACTCCTATAACTAGACCGCGATCACGTTCACATACTCCTGTACGTAATCGTTCGAGATCTCGTTCTCCTTACTACAATCGTAGTAAATATTCTAGTCATAGGTAATTTAGTATTAAATAGTAATAAAAATAAATATATTTTTTGAATAACTTATTTTTATACTAGAAGACGGTATAGAAGCAGAGAAAGAGATGAATCATACAGAAGACCAATTTCTCCCTCATCTAATGTTCATCCTTTACACTCTATGTCAGGTTATGTCCCTGGACATCCACATCCTAGAATGTTTTATGCTGCACCTTATATGTTTCCAAGACCATATATGAGATTTCCTCCACATAGTAGACCTAGATTTTACTCTCCAGATTTGTATTCCGCTGAATTTCAATTACCAAAAGAAAGGTGTTTATTTTTTTTATTGATTTAAAATATGTACTCATAAATTATTTTTACAGTCTTTTTTGTTCTTTTTTTAGAACTACAAATAAGAGAAAAAAATTACTACTAGAATATGAAAAAGCTGTTGAAGATATGAAAATAGAAATGGAAAAAAAGTTAAACTATCATGAAACGAATCCTGAAAATCATCCAATGTATCCAGATGAATGGAAAAAATTTTGGAATCGACGTTTTAAAGAATTACAAATAGAAGGAAAAGATCCAAATACATATGATTTTAAACCTGAATGGATTCTTTCTTGGAATAAACGAATGCAGGAAATTCATAATGAAGAAATTAATGAAAAGATAGAAAAGCTGAAAATTAAAATATTAGGTAATATTGATATGGATATTGTTGAAATTGATGATTATGTCTCAGATACGCCTTCTACAGATTCTTCTCCTGTAAATGAAAAAAAACATACAACCGATTTAAAAAATTCTTGGCATAAGAGTCTAGTATCAGAAGTAACAGAGAAAGATTTTGAAGCAGTCCACAAACTATCAAGTGATAAAAAAGCTAAAGTTGCTGGGGCATCTCCTATTAATTCTGACTCTGATGATTCAATTAATGAACTTACTGACCAAAATAAACCTAGAGAAAAAATAAAAATTGAAAATCCGTTGAATGTTATTACTGTGTTGCGACAATTAAGTGTATTAGAAAATCAATTAGGTTTGTTGGCACCTAAAGTAGTTGATTTGTTATCTAAAGGTCTTGTAATGGAAAAAATTGAATCCAAATCATCTATTAAATTACTTAGTCCAGATAATTGTGTGATGTTTGAAACAGTAAAAGAAAAACTCAAAGGACAGTTGTTAGCTGGTGTTGTGAAAAAGAGTTTAGTAAATGCTACTATGTTTTCCATTCGCAATATAGAAAAACTAATGCGAATTGCGCCTAAATTTGTACCTACTACAAGCATGTTAAATTCTTCAACAACATCTATAACTACACTTCCATCATCTACACTTACACCTGGTCCTATTATAGTACCTGGTGTTGGTATTATTGATAAAATGGCTATTGCTCAACAAATAACTGAAGCATTACTAGCTCAAGGAAAAGTTGACGTAACACAAGAAGAATTGGAAACTCTTATAACTGCTGTTGTGGGTATGGCCCAGTCTGGAGATAATCTACAAGGAGCTAAAAACTTATTAACAAACATAAATAATAGAGAAGTATTAAAAACTGCTTGTGATGAAGTAAAGAAGAAGGAAGAAATTGAAAAGAAAAATTTAGAACAATTATCTCAAGGTGACATAATTAACTTATTAAAAAACTTCAGAGATTTAACTACTGATGAGCAAGATGGACTGATAACGTATTTAAAAGATTTAGGGGAAAAAAATCCAGATGAGGTGAAAAAATTCAGGAAGTATATTGACATGGGACCATCTAACTTAAAAGAAGTTACATCTATGTTTAGAGAAGAAGATGATGATGATAATTATGAACTTTCAGAAGTTTGTAAGGCTGTCAAGGAAAAAGTAGTTGAACAGAAAGATAAAGATTTTAACCAAATGACTGTAAATTTTGAAATTACTGAAGAGCAAAAGAAACTATTAAATAGTATACAAGATTTATTTGAAATAAAATCTGACTATAGTTTACAACCTACAAATTCTCAAATTCAAACCACTCCTGATCAATCTAACCAATCTACCAGTCTTTACAGTCCTACAACTGAGCCTTATTCTCCTTCATGTTCTATAGATCCGTATTCAGCTCAAAATTCTGACCCCAAGATTTATTCTCCATCAACTACATCTACTTCATTTTTAACTCCACAAGAACAAACTAACAATAAATATATAATACACCACGAGACATCTAATAAATACAATATACCCCAAGACCAGCCTCATAAATACAATGTATCTCAAGAACAATCTAATAAATACAATGTATCTCCAGAACAATCTAATAAATACAATGTATCTCAAGACCAGATTAAAACATATACTCCTGAAGAACAGAGTGATAAATACAATGTGACTCAAGAACAACCTGATCCATATTCAGCTAACCAAGTAGATCCTTACAATGATCCTTACTCACAAAATCGTAATAACAGTTATTATCAAGAGCAACAACAAGATTCTTACTATAAATACCAATTAAATACTCCAGTTTCTAAATACCCTTCAAGTGGAGCCCATTATAAAGGAAATTCTTATAAAAATAATACTTATAAAAGTAATAACACTTATCCAGATACTTTCCAAGGAACATCTAAAGAAAGTGATAGGAATGATAGATACAGTCGTTCTCATAATAATAATAATAATAATCGTTTCCAAAGTAGACGTTAAAATGTATGTGTGTATATTTCAATTAAATTTAAACCTATTTTTATATACTTATTTTGTGTACATTCTATATAATTTATTTAAAATATAGTACATAATTGTATAGATTTGTGTAAATTGTTTGCACGTGTTTAGACAAGAATAAATCTTTAACAGGCATTTAAGTATTTTATTATACGCAGATTGACAATTTTTTTTGGTAAATATTTTGTTGTTTACTTTTGGTAATAAAGTATTTATTTTTCCATCAGTATTTATTATTCTATTATTTTGTGTCAGAAGCCTAAGCATGCGCCAACAATATGTCTGTATTTTGTGATAACTGAGATAGTTCACAAATTATGAATATGTTCCATATATCTTTCCAGTATGTCCATAAATAATGTTTTAATATTTCTAACTAAAAATAGAAATTTTTTTAGAAATAAAAATAACATTATAAATAGACTATCAATTCTGCTTTCTGTTATTGTTGTAAATGTATTATATTATGTCTACATTAAATCATTAAAACCTACGCATATATTTTAAAACAGTTACCTATCTCTATATAGTATATAGTAAGGTTACTGTGTCATTTCTTTCAAGTAGTCAGGTACTGATAAGAACCATTTACTTTATTAGTGACATAAACAGTTTTTTTTTTTTTACTGTCTGGTAAAAATATGGATTAGTATGCTATTAACAAATAGAGTTGCCATATTTTCATATAGTAAATCGGGACAACAAAAAAAAAAAGACATTATTTTATACACTTTATACATCGAAAATTGTATTTATCAAACAGATTATTATAAAACATTAAACATATTAATATTAATTTTGAATAAAGTGGTGTAGTACAGTCCAGTGAATTAAATGAATAATGATGAAAAATTACCTTATAAACATTAACTAATTCTGCGGCAACTACCAATTTTTCTTCTTTTGTATAAAAAAGTAATCAAGTACACAACGACTGAAGAACACGAGACATGTAATACGATACAATCATGGAGACTGAATAGTCGAGATAAAAGTACGCAAAATTGAAAATACTATAAATATTAGTTATTGGATTATATACATCAATTTAATAATAGTATATTAGTCATAAGTCTTTATCAGTGTATCGTTGACTATCTATCAAATATAAAAATAAAACATGTAAATTGTACACGCATTTGTTTGTTCCCCTCGAATTTTCCTAATATTAATATTGTATATTTAACCTATAAATATGGGCGGTATAACAAAATTTCTTTAGCCAACGGTCAGGCTAGACCTGGTGTAACAGGCAAATCATATCCTCCAAATTTACCATACCTTCCAGGGGGGTATGAAATTCCTAGAGTATTTAAGTACCATAACTCGGTAGTTTTTCAACGTACCGTTTCACTAATATGTATAGGTATGTTAGATGCACTTCATATTGAAAGTACCCTCCCCCACTTCTGATTTTTGGATCAAGTATATCTCAGCAAAATTTAGTGATAAGAGAATGGTTTCAATGCCAAATAATTTGACTTGGCACCCCACACAAGTCCCTTCCATTATTTGATATCATGAAATCCCTTCCAAGGAGCTCAGCCTGAAATTCATTCGATTACAACCAAACTTTGGAAACGGTCTCTAAGTCACCCCAAGACCACTCTCACCAAATTTAGTAACAATCGGAAGGGATGAAAAAAGGGATAACTCTCCAATATATTCTCATAGAATGGACTTATACGGGAGTCCAAGCCTAATATTTTCGCCTCGCCACGCCGATCATGTTGGAGAGTCATCCCTTGGATGAATTTCAGACTAAGTCCCTTGGAATGGATTTTATGGTATTAAATTATGGAGGGGACAAGTCAAATTATTTGGCGTTGAAACCATTCTCTTGTCACTAAATTCCGCCGAGATATAATCCAAAAATCAGAATTATTATGAAGATCACCTAATATACCTATATATATATATATATATTAATGAAGATCCCGGATGGGTACGTTAAAAAACTTCCGAATTATGTTGCTTAAATGCTCTAGGAATTTCATACCTCCTTGGAAGGTACGGTAAATTTGGAGGGGGTGTATAAATACTAAAATTATGGTACCGAGGGGTATGATAATTCTAAATTAATGTTACCCTCGGCAAACGAATTTATGAGGTATATATATCCTAGTATAATCGTACCGGGAGGGGTATGATGTTTCTCGGTACGAAATGCCTGAGACATTTCGAATTAACGTTCGACCGGATACGGACGAAAAAAATAAAAGTATAAAATTCAAATTGTACCGGTCACATTACATCCGATAAATTCGGTCGTATGCGGCCGATGCCTGATAAATACAAAATATTTTATTTCTTCCCGGCCGAATCACCCGAATAATTTCAATTTATACCAACTATTTATTATACTTATTATTATTATTATTATTTTTAATAGTTCAGTAGCGTATCGAGAGAGGAGCTTTGGTGTCGAAACACTTCCCGTTGCCCATATTTATGCCGAAAATTATAGTTTATATTGTTATATACAGTTATGCATTAGATTTCCAGACCCCCCTCCCCCCGTAAATCCTCCACTGAATGTAATGTATATTATGTTATATGTATGTTTTATGCGCATAATGAAGTTACAAATAAGTTACATATAAAAACACCCCTCCCCCCCTAAAAAAATTCAGGATACGCCACTGTTTAATACTATACTATTTATACCGACACACCTATATTATAATTAAAACAATTAATACAAAAATAACGTTAGTAGATTTTAATTTAATTTTCATAACATTATGGTAAATATTTTATTAGTTGATCGGTTTCTAACAAGAACATTTCATCGGCAACGTCTATGTTGCGTGTCGAACTGCCATCAATAGAAATAAATGTACGTATACTGTATCATTTTATAAATTCAACTGAAATCCGGATTTAGTCTGACCTTTTTCGTTGGCCGATTTTTGTCTTCGATTATGGTCGGATAATTCGGCAGATGCTGTCCGAAAAATATTCGGCCGATGCCGGGTCTAATCTGATTGTAGCCGTATCGTATTATCGGTTATAACTTATACCCTTAACATATGTATCGTATTAATTATAATAACATTTTGACTCGAATACAATATTATTCGAAAAAATAAAATTGTCAAAATTAAACTATTTTAATTTGTTCCCAAAACCAGGACTTATAGGCGTTCCGAAAACATTTTTCGGGACACCGTGACCCAATGTCAAAAACCGTTGACAGTTCCGGTTTTCCGGGACGTATGGCAACTCTATATACAATATATGTCTTTAAAAAATGATGCGTTTCCTGATCTATATAAAATTTCATCAGTAGATCATAATGTATAAGTTAATATAACATAACATATAAGTTTTAGCGGATAATAATTGATAACGCTAATTGGCCAAATTCGGGCGGTTAGTTATTAATGGTAATTACGCAGCGGTTAAGCTTAAAACGTCTTCTTAAGCTATACCCGCATATACTGTCTCAGTCCAACTACCGGGTAACATGCAAAAACAATACTTAAAATAAGTAAAACTAGCTTAATTTTGATTTTAGAGTAAAAGTACCTATTATACAATTTATAGAGAACAATATTTTGGAGGGAATGTCATTGGGTTTTTGTATTATTCGACATATACTATGTACAGCTCGATATAAAAGATACAAAAAACTTTCTTTTTTTCTTTTTAAATAGTTCATAATTCAAAAAACAAATATGACATTCCCTCCAAAATTTTGTTCTCTATAAATTTCATAATAGGTACTTTTACTTTGAAGTCAAAATTAAGCTAGTTTTACTTATTCTACGTAAGCATTGTTTTTGTACGTTACCCGGTAGTTGGATTGAGACAATTGTAGATGCTGGTATAACTTCCTTCTAACCGGACTTGATGAAATCTAAAATCTTCGGTGAACTGCGTGAATCGTGACTAACATTTGTTAACCGTGATTAACATAGTTGTTAAAATCGGCCCTATTATATCATTATATATTTATATATATTAGAAACAAATATATAAAAAAGATATATATATATCTATTATTTATATGTTACGGTGAGACGTAAATTGATTCAACTATGTAAGTAAATGTTGTAAAAAAACGTGTTTTAAACTCAAATTTTTAATTAACATGTCTCTCAGCAGTAAATGACGTCATTTACCAAGTTTGTTAGTTAATGAAGATTATAAGTAGGTATATTAAAAGCTTTCTTATTAAAATAATTTATTTTTGTTTATTAGTAAAATACTATCATTATTATTATAAATTATTTATTTTTACAGTTAGTACTGCTGTGCCATTTTGAAATTTAACAGAATTGCAGCTACGTAATAAGCACGTTTTTTAGTGCCACTTCTGCAAGTACATCTAGTATATGTGCTCCTGATGATCAGCTACTTCTTGTCCTGCGGCTTCATGAAGAGTTATTTCCTTTTCTTTTATTTTTTCCATTGTTTCATCGAAGTCTATGAATTTTCTAACAAATTCATATTCATTTTAAGTAGATTGATTGACCTACGATGATAGCTGATAATTAATGACCAGACCTTGATATAGGAAATTTTGGTCTCCAAAAACTAAGAAGTAATTTCTTTAAATAATTACATAAATCAGACATATATTTTAATGCATATAACACTTACTACGCGACTAAGCGAGTAGGTACTATGAAATTAATTAATATAATAATAAGAAAGGTAGGTATATAGTCCCCCCCCCCCGGAGCTTCTGTAAACTCAAATATTTCACTCCCATCCGGGAAGCTTGTGGGAAATTCTTATATAGCTCCGGGACTTCCTGCAGTACTGTTAGGGTGGTATAGTATGACAATAATGAGCAACTGCAACCAAAAATTCTTTAAATGGAACATTAAAATATTTTCAACGCAAAAAAACGTCAGAAAATATGCTACGATTTGTATAGAATAACACCTATGGAATGCCGCTTGCACAGTTGCACGTGAACAAAGCTTATAGATAATAATATTATCTATACTATTTTCTATTATCTATAAACCTTGGCACATGAATATATGGTTATTATGACTGTCTTAATTCATCATTATGGCTATCGTAGAAGTAAATAGGGGGCTTAGGAGGGCTTTCTCTAAGCCATCTTAAGCCCTCCCTAAGGTACTTTAATATACAGATAATCTTTACTATAACAAATTATATAATTTATTACCAATATTTTAATAGTATATTGTTACAATAACCTATACCACTAAAAATCGAAAACTACGTTTTTGGTATCAAAAATCAGAAAAATTAGGAGCGTAAACTGGTAAAAGGGCATATTTAAATTCAGAAAATTAAGTTAGTAATGTTGACTAAAAGGTATTCAGGCGTCTTTTTAAAATATAACTTAATAAACACTGATTTCATATAAGGGCATAATATACCACATTCAATGATTGTATAGTATTGCTTTCCATGATAAATATCATTAAAAACTGTTTTGCTGCGTTTTTTCGCAAAATAATTTTTTTTGCTTCCTGAAAAAAAGTAAAATTTAGTAGACGCCCTTTTAATAAAATACCGTCGATGTATAATATTTATAACCAATAGTAAACATTAAATATAATAATAGTAAAATGTAGGTAGGACTTAATTGAATTTTCAATTATACGTTCTAAAGTTCTATAAATTATGATCAGTTGATGGCCTATTATAACAGCCTATCCAGGGCCTGATTAACCAATAGGCTGAAAAGGCTGCCTAGGGTGCCGTTAAATAGTAGGGACGCAACAAAACAATTTTTTTTTTAATTTGTTTCAAACTTGTATTGCCTATTTTGACTTATTTTGGGGGATGTGGAAGAATTTGTCATCGCCAGCCTATTGGTAGAAAATCCATTATTAGGCCCTGGGCCTATAGTCCAAACGTATCGTCGTCAGCCATGCTGGTATTGAGTACAATAAATTACGCAACGTCACATAAACATACAAATATCATTTATTACGTATGAAATTTATATATGCCTGGTTGCTTAGTTGTTGGATTTGTAACAATATTTTGTCCATCAACCATCAGGGTTCTCCGATGTCCAATCCTTTAATTTTTAATATTTCTCTCGAAATTGTCTAGCAATAACTCCTTTGTGGTCATCCAAGGTGGCTTACGAGACTTAAGTCGTAGTTTTCTCAGTGACGGTCAAATGATTTAACGTGGAGGGAGAGAATAAGAATAATTTGTAAAAACGATTATTATTTACATTACTTTGTTTTATATCTACAAAGATATAATATAATGTACCGGGTTATTTTTCACTCCGGAGAAAATTGAAAAACGACCTCTCTAAAGTACCTCCCTAGTGAAATTTTTTTTTAAAAATATTTCTATCATAATAAGTTAGTGCAAAATTGCTGGTAGAAAAATTCTGCACAGAAAAAAAGAAGGTAGTAATATATTTTAACTAATACCTACATTTCTTATATTTTCCCGGTTTTCCTCCGTTATTTTTCAATTTTTCAAATTTGATGAGAAAATCGAAAAATGATCTTTCTAAAGTACCTCCCCACACCGATATCCTTTTCAAAAAGAAAAGTTGCACACAGATAAAAATAAATATCTTTGTAAAACTTTAAGCTTCTTCGATCCACTCAGAATCTAAAATTGATGTTTGACTTCAGAGTTCTTTCCTTGGATGAATGTGAATTTTTCGCACGAGTAATTATAGTTAACGTATATAGGTAGTTAATTTTTAAAGAGTGTGTTGTCCACGGTTACAAGATCATTTATATAACAATGTAACATGTATAGTATAACAGCATCTATTGTGTGATATTGTGTTATTTGCTTCGTCCTCTTGACACACTACTTTCGATAAACAATCTAAAATGTTGTATATTCTGTTTTTCTTTATAGGTGATCCATTTAAGTGGGTACACTCATTATCTCGGGAAGTATTAACTTTTTCCGGAATTTGTTTTTTAGAACATTTCAGAAATAAGCTGCTTTACAATTTAATATTTATGTTATTTTTTGTCACCCTTATTTTAAGAGGTAAAACCACTACCTACTTTTGATTTTCAAATCGCAACCTAAATTAAAATATCCATAAATAGATGGAGTTATAGTTAAAATAAATTTCAACACTCAAATTTAATTTATTTTCAATGTTCATTCATTCGTCATTATCAAGTATCAACAGTCAACATGTCGTCAGAGGAAGAGTCTGAAATAGTGAAATCAATATCTCAAATTTGAAATCTAAAATTGATGTAGAACAAAATTAGAAGCTGGAGTAATACTATTTCTGATGTTAGTATAGATTCCTAAAAATTGTGTTGCTAAATACTCAGTAGCTAATCAAATGCCGATACGCTCATCCGGAAATAATTAAAAGTCTTCTGGATCTCTTCTAATATTTTCAAAAATTAACTTAAACGCATCTTCGGAAGGACATGTACTATTTAAAGGATGTACCCACATCTTTCTACAATTTTTTTTTATTTTTAATAAAAAGTTGGTAACCCAAAAAAAAAAATAAATATATTTTCATCCGTTTCATTGTTGTCTAGTTGAAACTTATACTAAATAATTAATGTATGTTTAATGAAATAAGTAAATATAGTTATCGTGAATATCGTAGGTACCTAAATAAACGCTCGTGTGTTGGCATGAATTAAAACGAGCGGTAAATTTTGTTTACGCGGTAAAAATGTCGCGAAGTAAAATAACGCACGTGTGTTCCCAGCCATAGGTACTCATTAAGACAATAACATACATTTTTTGAAAATCAATAAAAAATATCATATTTATTACCTAACTTACAGATGTCTGTTAAATGGAAACGCTAACATACCTATCACTGTAATTAACTGACGGATAAAAAATGTGTTTTCCGTTCACTCCATCGAATGGGTTAACGTTGGATAATTCTTTAAAAATGCTTTAAAGGTTCTTGTATGATATTTTTTATATGAATATTGCGTGACATAATATTATAAGCTAAATGACCTAAATTTGATGATAATAATATTTTCTCCTTTTAACTTCCCAACTATGATTGACCAAGCAAATTATATAAATTAAATCCCATTGGAATAGTAAAATAAACAACGAATTAAAAAAAACAGACATACTTCGCACGATGGATAGGCCACTGTTGTAGGTGAGAAGTTGAGAAAGTAGAGGAGAAGATTAATATACATCTGTACCCACTCAATGAAAAACCATTGTTAACGAAAAACGATTCTGAGCGGAGTTCGGTTATTAGTGATGCTTTATCAACAATATATATATATATATATATATATATGTCATATTATGGTAAAATAATTACATAAAATGGAATTATATATTTGTTTAATATTGTACCTATTTTCCCGTTTTTCCTAAGTTTTTTCTTTGTTTTTCCCACGTATTGGGAAAAATCCTGGGAAAATTAAAAAATGATCTCCCTAAAGTACCACCCCAATTAGGTTTCCTTTCAGAAGAACTTCTATAATTGAAAATTGGCCCAAAATTGCTGGTAAAAAATTATTCACAGAAAATAATAATAAAAAAATTAAACATCATTGTAAAACCAATACATTCCTTGCTCCACTCAGAATCTAAAATTTAAAACCGTCCAAAAATGGTGATTCCCCACCAATACAGCCCGTATTATAGTAGATATTGTAACCACCAGAGATAAAGTTGTACAAACTAAATACACATATCACTGTATAATCATCACGTAATAAAATATAAATAAAACAAAATTGTATTCATCTTCTTCGGCGACAGAAACCAATTTTAAAATTATATTTAAAATCTACTTTCATTATATTCATATTTCATGAAATTTCGGTGGGGTTTCAACACCTAAAACCCCTTTTGTACACGCACCTGGGTCCATACTTATACTCAACTCTATGGGTGTAGTGTGACACGCACTGGGCCAATTTTTAATTTTTTTTTCTATATTATTTTATTCATAGCTATAATACGTAACAGGTATATGTATCTAAATTGTCCAATATTTCAAGTTTTAAAAATGAATACTTCGAAAGTCATAAAACTGAGAATTTTAAAGTTACCCATTTGCTAAACCGCATTATGTTGTTCCATTTTAAATTCTGAGTGGAGCGAAGAAGCTTATAGTTTTACACAGATGTTTATTTTTTTTTCTGTAAACAACTTTTCTACAAGCAATTTTACTCCAACTTTTAATGACAGCAATGTTTCTTAAAGAAAATTTGACTAGCGAAATACTTTAGAGAGGTCATTTTTGGATTTTCTCAAGAGTTTTTCCAGCAAATGTGAAAAACCGAGATAAAACATGAGAATACCGGGAAAAAATAGGAAAACTAGGAAAATCGGTACAACATGAAACAAATATTATTAAAGAAAATGTATAGAGCCTATTTAAATATTTTACCATAAAATGACATATATATTATTGACAAAAGCATCACTATCAACTGAACTCTGCTCAGAATCGTTTTTTCGAAAGCAATGGTTTATTGTTGCTTACAGGTATACATAACTATAACAGCTGTGGTTGCACCCATACCCATTATCATAGGATGTCTTTTTATTTAACGATTTGTAGTAATAACTTCCCAACGTCGCGTGTTCCGATATTTTTCGTATACCTCTCGAGAACACTGTTAATCATATGGTTTACTTGCAAATTGCGATTGACGACAATTCAATTTACACCTGCTGATCACTTCTGTAACTGTGTTTGTTCCTTTTTTTTTATTAAAATGTTTTCTTGAACAGAACAACTTGTTAGAATAAAATTAGTAAAATAACACCTTCCATTTGAGACATTAAAACATACTATTACCTTTTAGTTTATTTCAAAACAGTATTACGTTTATTTTTCGTAGATTATTGTACCTAACTTAGTGTCTATCAGTTAATCGACTGAAATTATTCCTCGCCCTCAATTAAAATGCAACTAATCAAATGTATGTAAATTGCTCGTCAAATCGTTATTTTTCGTTAGAATGGAACCCGTCGATTGGAACGCTTTGCCTAGTCTGGCTCTCCACCAAATATTCACATACTTGTTGCCCGAATCTAGAGTGGCGGCATCGTCTACTTGCAAACATTGGAGAACCGCTCTGTACCATCCGCTCTTTTGGCATAGACTGTCGCTCGATATTTCGTCTACCAGAAATTCGTTCGCCGATGTCAAGTCTAAAGTGAAACACGCAAATAAGAATCTAGTAACACTCGTACGTGATTTTCGACTTATTTTTGATTCGCGCAGCTCACAATGTTTTGAATTGGCTTCGTCGGTTATTAGAGCATTACTTGACAATCAATTGTTAAAGAACATTGACATTGAGCTTAGTCATTGTGAAATATCAAAAGATGAAGTGTAAGTTTACATTTGAAACATGTCTTTACTAAAATTATGTGAATGTATTACCTACCTACCTTAATTATTTTTAAATTAGATTTCAGGACAGTTCTGATCAGTTGTGCCCATATAGGCAATCAATTCAACATTATTTTGAATTTGCCATACTAAATGTTATACAGAGAGGAAATATTGAAGGATTTAGTTTTGGATATTTTATGTTCTATTATTGGCATGCTTTGATTCATATGCTAGCCAAGTATAGTTTTCATAGTTTACATCGTTTAGAACTGGCTGGATTGGGACCATCAGTTTGTAATGAAAGTAACATAACATACTTCAATTCCACTTATGATAGTATGTCATCCCTAATCAATTTAAAAGTAGGTTTTTTTCTCTCTGTTTTTTGTTTTTGTGAATACTTTTAATTATTATATATGATTTTACAGAAATTAAGTTTAGACTTGAATGTTAATACGTACAAATTACTCCCAGCACTGTGTTCAATGTCAAATTTGGAAATTCTTGTTTTACATGTTCATAAGGATTTAGGTGTAGAAATCAGTGACGATGTATGGGCAAATCTTAAAAAGTTTTGGTAATTAGAGAATTTTTTTTTTCAAATCTAATTAGAGTTTGGGACTTATTGCACTAAAATTGTCAGACATATGCATGCACATAATATACACTTAAAATTACTAAAATATGCAACTTAATAATTAAATTATTTGTTTAAAAAGTTTTTGCATCTGCAGAGTTTAACGTAAATCTTCTAAATATATTTACTTAATAATGATGTAAAATTGTATAAATGTAAGAAAAACTAATTAAATTTCCAAATATGTCATATATGCGTTAAGATTAAAAAAAAACACAAATTAGGCAAATAATTTTATTTAAATTTGTAATGTCTTAAAACAAATGTTTCTTTTAATATTCTACAGCCATTATTAAAGAATACGCAATTACAAGTCCCAAACCTTAGTAATAATACAGTTAACCGGAAAAAAAAATGAATATTAAAATAGTTAAACTAAACAAAAATAGTATTTTTTACAATTTAATAATAATTGCAAATTTTTTTTATAGTCCTAAGCTTGAGTTAAGGCTGACAATTATTAACTGTCATACTGTCGCTAAAAACCTTCATACTAAGTTGCTTCGTCCGTCAATGCCATTAACACATTTAAAAGTTCTTTTCTGTAATATGGTAAGTATTAAGGTATTTGTTTTTAATGTTATTAACAATTTATTTTAATAATTTAATTATATGGCCTTAATATTTAACTATAATTAATTATTTATTTATAAATACTTAGATAAACGTACAAGTATTACATAAGCTATTGGAGTATAAAAATACTTTACAATCATTGATTTGGGTTGATGAACATTCAGTGAACCCTACTGCTTTACTTAAAGGACATTGGCATCATGTACCATCCGCAGAGGACATTGAAACTAATCCGCTTATAATATTGTCATGGCAGTGCACCAAACTAGCAGAACTTGTTATATTTGGTAAATATTGTATATTTATTTTAAAAATATTTCATATTACAATTTAGTGATATTTAGTCACACTCAAATTGCTGAACAAAATTATATATATTTTAACTGCCTTAGGCATTTTTATTTAAACGACTAAAAGTTTAGATAAAGGTAGAGTGGAAACCAAATTCAAGCTAGGAGATTGAAGTTTATCTAAATCACCAATAAAATACATTCCTATCAGATTTTTCTCACTACTCTCAATTTCAGCGTTTTCATTTGAACCCGCAAAATTACATAAAATATTTTCAATAATAATTTATTATGTGTGTAAAACATGTTTAGTTAAATAATTTATCATATTATTATTTTTAATTTTTAATAATTAAAAATCATTTAAAGCTCTATTTTGTTCAATTTTCGTTGTAATAGGTACTATACTTGAGTAATAAAATTAGTTTTAAGAGTTAAAATCAACATGATATTCACAGTAAATCGTTTTACTTAATGTTAAATATATTTGAGATGTTGAGCAAGTGAAGAAGTTTTATTGTATTTATTCATATATTTTTTTCTTTATCTAAAAAAGATTTCTCTTTGCATCCATTTCAGGAATGGTTTCAAGTATCAAATTTTGTCTATTTTGTGCATTGGTATTGGGGAAGTTTTTTTTTAAATGTTCCTTGGAGATACTTTGTTTGATAATGAAGGAAAACTGATAAAAAATTATCATAATATTTATGGAATTAGGCTTTATCTTAAAATTTCTTTTGAATATTTTTATTAACTTTTAAGTATACTAAAATTAACAGTTTAAGAGTTTATAAAATAATTGTTATCATTTTTTAATTATTCTGGTGTTTTTTATTATAATTTTATCTATATGAAGTCTAGTATTTTTGGTTTTATTTTTTGTGGATACATTTAGTTGGTTTTAATTTTAAACTCTAAATTCATATACAAGGTTTCTCGTAAATTTTTCTCAGAATAATCATTTAAAAATATTGAAAATTTGTAGTTATGATTTTTGTATATATTTTGGAAGTTAAAATATATGATGAAATTTATTAAGCTTATAAACAATTCATTTAATTTGTAGTTATGGAATTAATAGAATTTTAAATTTAAATTTATCAAAAAAAAAAATTAACTGAACTCTGTGAGAATTATTTTATTGTTATGATTTATCATTACATACAGTGAGTACATAAATTAAATAACTCTATTTCAAGTTAATTTTATTATTGAAGAATCAGTTATTAATCCACTTTTATGTAAATGTAATTTTGATGGAGATAATAAAGACAAGTCAATCAATAAATTGTTTTAATTTTTAATATTGTTATACATACATATACTATCAACAATAGTATTTTACATTTTTGTACATTTCAATATTTATATTACCCTGTTATTATTTTTTTTTTTGCTTTTCGATCTGTTTATTATTGATTTAATATATTTTCATTTTTCTTTTTCTTGCTAATTGATGCCATATTTTTGTTTTTTATTTTATTTAATATTTGTGGTTAGGTAAATAATATTCTGTAATTATGTATCCAATGATGTAATGCTTGCTCATATTATTTTCAAAATAATAGTTATAAATTGTTTTTAATATCTATATTTTATTTGAATTACTACTAAGCCTTTTTATTTTGAGTTTATAAATTAATAATAACTAAAATTATTTTAGGATATTTTATTGAACCGATAGACGTATGTGGCATTGCAAGACTGAGAAGTTCAAAGTTAAAAAGATATGAATTACTTGAAGAAGATATTTGTTTTAACCAACCACAAAGTATGATGTTTTATGATGACCTTGTTTTAGTGAGTATATTTGAATTTTATTTATATTTTTTAATCATTGAATATCATTTTATAAGTTATGAGTATTATGACTTATAAGTAGATTCAGAGGTACTTTTTCACTATCTCAACTACCTGATATTACAACTACCAATCAAGTTTTGTTATTACAGCAGTGAGGACATATAATAAATTTAAATTAAATTTTTAAATTTTAATATCTTACATAATATTACTAATTAAACAACAATGGAGAGTTATACATAAAGCCTTTCTGATACACAGTTTTTATTATGTCCATTTTTGCCTTTATGGTGTCTTGGAAGTAAATCTTTTTCGTTTAAGAATTTAAGGGTATCATTTTCACTGTTGAGTAAATTTAAGTGATCCATAATTATAACTAATACTGAATAATAACTAAAATAATTATATATATATATATTTAAAAAAAAAGAATATTGAACGTCAGTTTACGAAAAATATTAATTTTAATAACGTGTAAATCAGCTCACACAATTTGAGGTAATTAGAAGGTAGTTGAAATAATGGAATTATTATTATACAGTACTCACAACTATATTTATGATACATTTGAAATTAAGAACTTAAGGTATTATTTTCAAATGCTTTCAGGATGTTTCGAATTGCATGGATACAAATTGGAAACCTCTAAACAAAAATAATTTATTTGTGAGTCATTCACATTACATATTAAAGTGCATTTCTAAAGATTTGTCCTCAAGTTTAAATAATTACTAATTAAAATATATCAAGAACACAAAATACTGGTACTAAATTTATAATAATACTTACTCTTTATTTTGTGGCCAATAATATTCATAATATCTGATATAATATTTTAAACAGATAATCAAATTAAATAAAAAATAAATAAATAAGTATATTTTCTTAACAAAACATATAAAAACTAACAAATTATATAAAAGAAATATATTTCAAAATGTAAATATCTTAAGAGTAAATTATATACGTTAAGAACCGTCTTGAAGTAAAAACTTGTGTTGTTGAACCACAGTATATTATTATGTTTTGTGTCAGTTGATCAGTTAAAATTACCACTACATATTTTATGTAAGTATATATTATATAATTATGATTCAAATGTTTTTATTTATAGAAGATTTAAAGCGCTTTAAAGGAATTAAGGTTTTTAAGTAAAAATAATTAAAGATTCCAAATTAATTAAAAATAGTTCTAATCACTTTTTTCTATATATTTTCTCACAAAAAAAATCAACTTACTAAATATAATAAAATTAATAATTCAAAAGTTATCACAATCTAGTCCTATTTTGTTGAATCTTTGTTATAATTCCTTTTTTTTTTTTTTAAGTTTATAAATAGTTAATATTGAATGTTTATATTACATATAAAAAAAAATTATCTTCATTATTGACTGACTTATTTTAGTATTTTATTTGATCATTGTTATCATTATGGGACTTTATGATTTGATATTTTATTTTGTTTTTTTTTTTTTTTTTTTTTTCATACATGAAGTAATTTTAAAATGGAATGACTGAATAATATGACTATTATTTGTTTGAAATGAAAGATCTAGAGAGCATATTCAAATGTTTACTATTACACATATTTTTTGCATTAATTTATTATGATGTGGACATGGTTCATATTTTATTCTCTTTTGGGTTTAACTAAGTACAATGATATGGATTTAACATGTTTTAAAACCTAATAATCACAAAAAATAATTGAAAGTTACCAAAGTACACATTTAATATACTTTGTAATTATGTTACAATAATAGATTTGATGCTATTTAATTTATTTTTCTATCTCATAATTTATTTAAACATCGAACATTGTAATAAAAAAAAAAACTGTAGTTTTCAAGTATTATTCACCAATTTTTAGTTAAATTTTTACTAATAATAAAATTTAAATCATTAAGATCAATTTTTTATGCAATGATCAACCAAATTGCTTATAAATAAAACATTTGTTTTCAAAGTCAATAAAACAAATTTCTATTGTATTATGTAAGCAAAAGTGTTCCTACCACAAATTATAAACTATGAAGTTTTACTTATATGAAGAGTGCAACTCAAAAAAGCACATTTTACTGATTACTTATACTGTGATAACATCTGTTAAAATATGTACAACATTATAGTGTTTAGGCTAATAGAACAGGTCGTGAACTAGAACGAACCATCAAAGAGTTGTTAAAAATTGTTAAAAATAATATTGTTGTTGAAATGTATGTTAAAATATATGTACCAGAACGTGATTTTAGAAATATTTGATAAATTAAGATCTATATTGCTGTGATGTTTTAAAAGATCATTTCTATGTTGTTAATGTAGGTTAATTGTCTATGACCATTTTATAAGGAAAATTGTAACAATTTATTTTGTTTATATTGTTAAAATTGTTACAATCTATTTGTGTGAATATTTATCAACAGTAACACAAGCAACTATGACTGAACGAATAACGAATGATTCGTGTTTATTTGTTATTATTAAAATAAAAACTCTATTCTGTGATCAATAACAAGTGTATAAAAAAAGATATATTCAGAGTTTGTTTTTACCAACTAAAATTTTTATTAAAAAAAAGGAATATGTACTGATATCATATTTTATCATTTTGCTTTAACTTATTTTAAACATTTTTTTTTGTTGTTATCCAACTTTTAGTTTGGATTTTTAGTAAAGTAATTTATTATTATAATATTATCATATTTTATTGATATTAAATTCCAAATATTTATCAATTATCAATTAATATACATTTTTTATTAAAAATTAAAATACTTTGTTTAATTAGAATATTAGAATATTATATATTTAGAAAATTAATATCCAAAAAATATGGCTCTTCTTTTTGACTTTCCAATTAATTTTTATGTTGTTAATAGAATAGATAAACATTATTAAAGTGTTAATTTATATATTATGCTTGTATTCTCTAAGCTTTTAGCTAACTATAATATACATAATATGGATGCATTATAAAAATAATATATTTAAGTAAAACTCTCTATAAAATGAAACGGTATTAAACTTATGACATTACATAATTATGTTTTAACTTACTCAGCTTTGTTTGGTGTTTGATCTTTAATAAATTGGTGTATGTTTAAACAATTATTTATCTAAGTATCAACCTATTTATAGAATTCTAAGATTAAAAAACAAATTTATTATATATATCTATATATGTACCTACCTATTATCTATATATATATATTCATATCTATTGTATTTCTATTACAAAAATATTGTGTTGTATTTTTTGTAAGTTAAATATTTTACTTATTGTTATTATTATTATTTATATCCATTGAACTAAATATTTAGTTATTTATTTTTACTCCACTGCCACAATGTAAAAAATGTATGTTGACTTTATGATTTGACAAAATAGTTTTAAATGAATTTTAATGGAAGATATTATTATTTTAATCAATATTTTATTTCTATTATTGTTGTGAACTGAATTATACCTATTATTTTTTTCATGTTTTACCCTATTAATTATTAATTATTAATAATTGTTAGAATCAAACTTTTTCTTATTATCTATGTATTATTATTGTTAATGTTTACTAAAATTATGATTGGTTTATGGTTCATAGCAAAATAATAAATACATTTTTTTTTTCAACAATATGTAATGAATTACTGAAAATTAAATGCATTCTTACATGGATATTATTATTAAATAGAGAAAATCAATAAATATATTATAGTTACAATTTAATATTTTAGTATTTTCATTTATAAAAACTAACTAATGGGTCTTCATTTTCAGATTCCTATCTATTGTATATGGTTAATTTTATAAAAGTGTCCCTCTTAAGATCAATTGTGTACAGCTTAATCTATGGCATACAGGGATTTGAAATTTTGAACATAAAATGGATTGATAAGTCCTTGAGCCAAATTTTTAATGTTCTCAGATGTAGCTGGGGAGATGTAAAACTGTATTTCAACCTAAATTTTAACCTAACTGTTATTAAACTGAAACAAATTTTAACTAAATTATAAAACAGCCCAACCACATTTCAACTTAAAATAAACTACCCTGAACATATTTTAGCAGAACTATATTTGAGTCTTAAACAACTATAGCACCGTGCAGGAGCGTTAGAGTAGGCATGCATGGTACTTATAGTGGTTTTCTGCTTAATTATGGTTCAGGTGCAATTTTTGAGATGTAATGATTTAATTTTAAGTCTATCGTAAGATACTCATTATCTTGGAAAGTATTAACTTTTTTCGGAATCTGTTTTATAGACCACTTAAGAAACAAGCAGCTCTACAATTTTACATTTCTGTTATTTTTTGTCGCCTGTATTTTTGGAACTAAAACCACTACATACTTTTTATTTTTTATTGACAATCTGTATTAAAAATTTCATAAACAGATGAAGTATTAGTTAAAATATATTTTGGTGTTGAAATTTTATATTTGTATCAATCCATTGACGTGATATTCCATTTTTAAGTTTTGGTCGGGGGAGAGTTGTGCATTATTAAAAGCCGGGCGCTGTGCCGCCATTCAAATGATGATCGTTAATGACTTGACGGAAATCAACAATTTTTATACCAAAATTTATTTTAACTAATACTCCATCATATTTACCTTTTATATAAATCGTAAATGTTAAAAATATTTTGTCATGTTTTGAGCTGTTTATAGGTATTTTTATAATTTTGTGGAAGATTTTAACGTAGTTTCTATTTTGTAGCCAGTAGGTATTATGTGAATAGAATGGAACAGAAATGCTTGCAATTTTAATAGGAGGTTCATTTTAAGTTGTACTTAGTAGTAAAAAAAAAAGTAAGTATATTAGTTAATAATTTTATTATTTGGAATTCGGAAGGTAGCACGATAGGGACTATAGGTTTTACTATGATGTATGTTTTTTTTCTGTCTAAACAACTTTTCGAAAAGAAATTTTCCTTTGATGTTTAGAGTGTATCATAGAACTATAATACCTATTTTGAAAGAATACATTTTTTTTTTTTTTTTGGTTGATGTATTAAAGTGGCCATTTTTTAATTTTCTAAGAGGTTTTCAAAATAATTGGGAAAAACTTAAAAGAAAATTTTAAGCAAAACAATAAATATTTACGGCTTATACCGATTTCATTATTTTTTAATAATGCACACGATGTTTTCTACCAGAAATATTACACCAATCAAAAAATGACAATCAATCGATTTTGTTCCTTTTAATATTTATCCTCTGACAAAGAAAGTCAATTTTTAATATTTATAGTAGTTTTTATAACAGTTGGTTAATCCAAATAAAACGAAAAATATGATTTTTTTTAAATTATGGCACAACGATTTCATTATTTAAAAATTTTAAGATTAAATTTTTTTACTAGAAATCTGTCCAAATTTCAAGAAGAGCATTTTAGATTCTGAATGGAACTAAAAAGCTTATGATTTTATAAAGTTGTTTTTTTTTTTATTCTGTGGGCAACTTTTCTACAATTTTGCCCCAACTAATAATTATAGAAATGTTTCTAAAAGTTAATCTGACTGAGGAAGTACTTTAGAGAGGCCATATTTTGATTTTCTAAGGCGTTTTCTCAATAAATATGAAAAACCGGAAAAGTCGTAGGAAAATCGGTACAACAAATATTATTAAAGAAATTATATAATGCCTATTTAATTATTTTACTATAATACCTATGGTATATATATATTGTTGACAAAGCAATCAACTGAACTCTGCTCAGAATCGTTTTTTCGTAAGAAATGGTTTATCTTTGCTCACAGGTATACATTAAATTACTTATAATCCATCCCCATTATCCTAATGATAGGACGTCTTTTTTTTTTAAGAAAGTTGATTTTCCGTACAGTTTTCCTAATAATTACGAAAAACCGGGAAAAACGTAGGAAATATGACAATAAAGTGTACGGCATTTGAAATTAATGTTGTTATTCGATTAAAAATTATTATACGGACCTGTAGTTTTCATAAAATACTTATATTGGCCTTTTGTTGACGTAGTAAAATTTTCAAAAAAAACTATTTGTAGGCTATTTGGTAGTTATATAGGTATATAGGTATTTGATATTTTTGTATGTATTTTTATTTGTAGGTATTGTAGGTGTTATTAAAATTATATGACTTAAGAAAAATGGTTAACAATTTAACAGAAAGTACATTATAAGGCTGTTGTATTTAGTGGTCTTAAAAACAAATTTGAGTTTAATGTTTTATTTTTTTTTCTAAAATGTTATAAGTTTAAATTTTGACAAAAATCGTAAAATCATCAAAACATGTATAACCGAACTTCCTCCGAATCGTTTTTCTTTAGCAATGGTTTATCGTTAGTTACAGGTATAAATTAAATAACTATGTATCTTACCTTCCCCACTACCTATCTACAACAGTAGCCACACCCGTCTACAGTATCAGATTTTTCATATACATATAGAATATTAGGTATTATAAATTGTTAAGACTTTGTGAACAAGAATTTTTTTTTTCAAAAATGTTAATGTCTGTTCACATCAATTATTTCAATAATATTCCTACCTACTAACTGTTGATATAAACTTATAGTGATGTACCTATACGTATATTCACGAAATTTTACATATTTTTCATTTGGATTTTTTTAAATTTTAACCGTTGCAAATTTATAAAGATTATGCCAACTCTTCTTGATAATATTACATTTTTGGACTCGACCATCATCCATTTTAAACTTGCTGAATTACATATTTTCTTGAAATGCTTAAACTTGTATATACCATTACGCATATGTTTGGCTACCTACTTATTTTATTTATTTACCTACTGTTGGTTATTCGATTCTATATTTCTATCCAAAGTTGCGTATCTATGATGAGAAAGAGAACAACTTTTATTTAAAAAAATATAAAGCGGACTGTCTGTTTAACTGGTTACCTATAATGACACAGTATACTTATCAGACATTATGTTATTGATTATAATATAGGGTGCAGAAGAAAATAGTTAATTTAATAAGTATATATTATTATTCCTTAGGTTAGATATTTATGCTACCTACCTAGTAGCATTTAGCGTTGCATGCCATTAACCGATGCCATAAAATATTCAAACATATAGCATTTTTTCATCGAAATTTCAATACTTTTATCAAAGTTGAATGACCTTTCATCGATTAATTTTTTTCCCATTTTCCCATATTAGTTCCATGTGGAAGCCAATATATATTTGACTCAATATCTACTATAGTTGAATATTCCTAGAGTTATTTATTGATAATTTTTCGATTTAGACATTTTAGACATCTTCATTCATGACTCATCAACTGTAGCATCTTTTCTAAAAGCAAATTTTGTCAAATAGGTACCTAGTTGATGCATTGGGGAGATTATTATTTTGATTTTCCTTAATTGTGGTTTTAATCAGTGACGTCATTTACGGGATGCATGATAAGAAAAGTATTTTTCTTATGACATCTTATTTTTCTATATAAAATATAATTGTATTTTAAATTTTGATAGAAGCTATATACTAGATAAATATTTAAAAAAGAGCTGATACTGGGAACGGATCAAGCTACTATTGTAGGAGAGAAGTTAGGAAGGTAGGATACATAAGGTTATTTCATTTATATCTGTAAACAACGATAAACCATTGCTGACGAAAGACGATTCCGAGTGCAGTTCGGTAATATCTAATTTGAAGTGCCGTAATTTTTTTTGCGATTTTCGTTTAAATTTGATTTCAAAACGCTTATTTTTAAAAAAAAAAAGTCTTCCAATGGTTTTGGAAACTTTGCCACGTCTAGGTAAATCTAATATAAGTATTATTACCAAGTTGCAAGTCTTTACGTGTATTTATAACGAAATTATAGCAAAAAAACTCCCAAAAATTAATATTCCTTAAAAGCTCAAAAGTTTTAGCGTTGATACCGTAAAAAAGTAAATCAATAAAGGTATTTAGTGATTTTTCGATTAAATAATTTTTTTCTGGTAGAAAACGTCGTCCGTGTTTTTATAAAATAATAAAATCAGGAAATTGTGAGTTTTCCTATGTTTTATTCCATTTAAGTACTTTTATTTAAAAAATGACCTCTTTACAATAAAATCTAGACAACTTGAGCTTTCAGAAAAGTTGCTACACGTAAAAATCGGAAAAACGTGTCCACAGACTAGAACAAAGAAGAAATAAACAGCATTATAAAACCAAATAGCTCCCTCGCTACGCACGGAATCTAAAACACGATACAACAATACCCAGTGAAAAGTAAAAGTTTATTTATTACTGAATTTTTAACTACAAAATCACTAAATAATAAATATACAAAAAAATACAATATACATTTTTGATATGTTTTTCGTCTTTTCAAATGCAAATGCATGTTCCGAATGCTACTTAAGTTCTAGTTTCATAATTGAAAAATAGAATTGTATATGGAAATATATTCATTTTGTCCTTTATGTGGTACGCGATCAAAGCTAGCGACTTTACTATTGAGTTTGAATTTTCAATATTCGTTTTGCATCCCGTGAAAAAATGTGAAATGACGTTTTTAACAATTGCAATACATTATCGAAATAAAATACACTGCTTATGAGTGAGTGAATGTGTATGAAGGGCATACATATATACAGAGTACCTATATTGTAATTTTTTATTCTTGGTTATCACACCAGAAGAACCCAACCAGAATAAAATGCAAAAATA